AAAACATTGCAGCCTTTAATCTGTAGTATAATGTAAACAATTTACAATAATTTATACTATGCTATACTTGCATTTTAATACAAATAGTATTAATTAAATTAATAGTATTATTAAATTAATGATTAATAGTAAATAATACTATTAATACACTTAATTAAACTAATAGAATTAGAATGCTAAATAATAACACCTCCATACTCACCATATGCTAATACGTCGATCCATGCACGCATGTGAGTATGATGCAGTGTAATCGATACTATTCGTTAGTTCTTTTGGAAATTTGTCCATTGTGTTCGTGATATTTCTTTGATGGATCTCCAGAAACCGATATTCCGCCGAACCGCTGGCTGGCCGCACTAAAGGAACGTATCGCATCGACGCATCAAATCGACCCATCATCCTAGGCGAGTAGTGAGTATGGAGCCATAGATAAATGAAACATGTTTTGATTGGAAAATTCACATAAGGGCAATGTAAATACTACCGCATGATCGACAAAAAACGGCGTCAGCGATGGCTATGACATGAAAATCGCATATGTGAAGATCAATAATTTATATAGGAAATGTCATCGATCATCATTTCCCAGTCAACTGGACGCCGTTTTTTTTCGATCATACGGTATTTGGCGCTATTCTTGCAATGGACGCGATCCAAAGCTTTTGATAATTTCGGAGCGGTTCGGCTTTTTCCGGAATTATGTCGCGAAATATGGTTTATTGAAATTTATTATTATTTTGTTTTAGATTTATAAATAAAATACGCCGCCATAATATAAATATATTATGCCGCCATAATATTATATATATATTATAAATAAAATACGCCGTCATAAAATACGTTGCATATAAGAAACTTTATTTTATATTAGGGCATGTATGAAATACCTATGGAACATTAGAAACGCGACGTTATGCCACGATGGTTTTTGCATTTCACACAGCTTTTTAAGTTTTTTTAATGTCATTTTTTCACAATTATCAGGGGTTTCAGTAAATAACATTTAAATTAAACTCACAAGATAGTAATAATTACTTTAAAAATGGACGTTTTAAAGACTTTTCGGTATTTTTTCAATGAGGGCTGTTTAAATTTTAAAAGATTTTATCATTTTTGAAGATTCTGACTTTGACAAGAGAAAATTATTTCTGTTCTTGTGTGGCAGTTTTTCTTAGCAACCCCTATAGCAGCGCCAAATCGCTTCCAACGTACGCGATTCAAAACAATTATACATTTTCGCGGGAAGCCGAGCATTCCAATTTAAATTTATTTCCTTTATCTACCGGGTGCGTCTCAAAAGTGGCTCATCCCTATAACTTTTTTACTTTTTCAGATAAAAAAAAGTACATTTGGTATTTTAGCACATAAATTAGTATTGATTGACATATTCAAGTGTTTTTGGTCACTTCCTGTTTCACCGGAAATGAACTTTTGATTTTTAAATGGAGACCCAATAGTACATTTTTACTTTATTCGATAGAAAATGACACTCTGAATAGAATGACATATCATATGTCAACTTTTGACATTTTCGCTTAAAAAAAACGTATTTTAAATTTCAATCTAGAGTACCATGGCTGTGTTAAAAACTTAAAAAAAATAATCAAGGAGTCTTGGAAAAATAGATTTGATCGTCTAATATTTTTCGTGTCTTGTTCTGGCCGGTTAAAAGATGCCCAAATCGTATTTTTAATCATATCTCAATTTTTTCAAATGGAACAAGGGTGACTCATTAGCATAATTGCAAAAAGCATGTTTTGCGAATAATTTGATACCACACACTTGATATTTCGAGTCAAATTATTTGTATAATGTTCTCTATTCTCTTTTGTTTGATTGTGTACTTTGTTTAGTTTTCTTTGTCTACAAATTGTAAAATTTTTTGACAATAAAGGCATTTATTTATTTATTTATTTTAAATTGTCGTTATGTACCGCATCTTCATTTTCATTCATGGTCATTTTCTGTCGAATAAAGTAAAACAAATCCGATAGTTTTATTTAAAAACCAAAAGTTGTAGTAATTTGCGGTGAAATAGGAAGTGACCAAAAACTCCTAAGGTATAGCCATAACTCCTAAGGTATAATTAAGAGTTAGTCCCTTGTAGGCTACGAAACAAAGCTGAAGCTGAATGGGACCTATGTTGGTATAAAAATTAAATCTTATTTTTCTTGAGGAATCTCCTCACGAGAGATGGTACATGTTGAAACACCCTGTATTTCTTTAAAACCAAAAAGAGTTATGTTAATATTAATAAAATAATAAAATACGTTTTCAGTACTAATGCATCTACAAAAATTGCCTACAAAACCAGGACAGTGACAGACCAAAACAGTTGCCAAATTTATTAACAAACCTGATAAGCGGAAAGTTAGGTAAACTGTAGTAGATGTTCTAAAAAAACACTGCAAGCTCAATAGCCATTTAAAGCTAATTAGATTAACAGAAGAAGCCATTTTTTTAATTACATTAAGCCAATACATTTTATGTAGCTTGGCAAATGTGCGGTTCATTGTATATAAGCGATGATTAGCTGTTGAAAAAATATTCTGAAGTATTTCTAAAAACACCAGTTTATTTAAAACAACTAAAATTTAGAGTAAATATTTTTTTTTACTTATTATTAATTGTTAATAAATATAAGTCAATTAAACGATTCGTTTGTCATCCTCGGTGTATTAATTTTAAGTCTATGTTAAATAAAAAAAAAACATTAGTTGTTATTCTGATTTTTTCTATAGAATTTTCTGTTGAAATTAACATCTTATTGTATACACAGATGTTTGTAATCAAAAATATCAGCCGTTATCTAAAGTGACACACTTGTCAATAATTTTCATGTGGCGGTATTTTGCACCTGCTATGTTATCATAATGATGCGTATAAATTTTAAATCATTCTTTTTTTCATGTAAGATTCATAATGTTATTTTGAAGGAAATACAATGGTACTAAATACGAAAATTGGTGTCCTTTATTTTAAATACTACTAGGCCCCATATTTATTACGCTGAAAATTTTTTGATGTTATTTCACATTTTACACTTTTTTTCTGAAATGGTAGAAAAATTTGAATAAGTATAAATGAAATTAACGGTGATTTAAAGCAGCAAATACTTTTATGAGGAATGATATAAAAAAGTTTCACCTCTTGTATTACCTTACCAAATATCATTTTACTGCCAAGCGACTGCCAATGATTGTGAAGAAGACTGCCTATGTCTGTCATATAATTATAGCGGGCTGATGCCAACGACTGCCAGCGACTGCCAAAAAAATGTAGATGTCATTCCAACAGTCTATAAATGCTACTTGGGATGACATCCCAAGTTGCATATTTAGACACAAAATCGAAACAAAATCTCTGCTGTCACATTTTTGATACATATATTTGTTAACAAAAGTCGCTTTTTGTTTCGAAACATTTTACCAAAATATGGTTTTGTTCATAAGCTATACCAATAAAGATCTTAGTGTCACAAATTTTTCGAAACTTTTAAGAAACAGATGTGGCTCACATTTACAGATTTCGTACCCGTTTTGTGAATGAAAAGTTTCCATAATTTATTTGATATTCTGTGTATGAGAACATAACCTTACTTTATTGTTTTGATTTTGTTCTGCAGTTTTTGTATTTAAGCATTCTTCAAGTTTTTATAGTACTACCGGTACCCTAATTAAAAAAGCAGAAGGGAGGACATATGGTGAGTACAAATACAGATATTTTTTTATGCGATTTTATAATTATTTATTATACGCATTATAGAGATGATTTGTTTTAGGAATAAATGTAACACGAGACCGAAGAAAGATGTTACCAACAAACGTTTTTTTTTCATAATGGAATAGATATTTTTATGTTTTAGTTGTGTTATAATAAGTAAATAAAAATGTTTTAATTATTTTAACTACAAGTTTTGATTGGCGTTATTGACAGGTGATAAGTTCAAAATTTCTACACAGATAGCGCTAAATCGAAATATTTTGGAAACAAGGTTGTTGAGCTTTTAAACTCATAAGAACGCTTTCTACTTACATTGATTTATATATTTTTATTTTCAGAACCGGGATATGAAAATAGAATTAAAAATCTATATTATATTTCAAACAAAAACATTTTGTAGCAAGAAATAATGATATAATATAAAAGGGGCTGAAAATATGAAAGTACATTATTAAATTAAACGATGAATTTGCTTTTGCCAGACATTGTTTGTTCGAGGAAACCTAAAAACAAAGATTTTAAGACAAATAAATTATGGCGGATGTCGACATTGTTGATGGTTGTTTTCATTTTGAAACCCACACACAGACATAGACTATTTTAGTTTGGTATTTCGTTTCTTCACATTTAGAAACGGTGGCTGCTGAAAACGGAAACATCTTGGATACAAATTGCAGAAAATGTTTCGAAACGTTACCTCTAAAAGTTTTGATATCGTATCGAAACATTTTAGCAAACGGCTAGTGCCACCACAATGAAAATACCTGTAATAAAGCCATATAAAATATATAGGTTTCGAAAATGTTTCCTATATGTGGCATATCATATTAAAAAAAATCGTCAAGAAGAGAACGCTTAATGAAAACTATTTCTATAGTCTCTAGTAGAAGGAACTATTTTCAAAACAAGAGACGCTCTTTGAGTCCATTTGGTGGAATTCGAATTTCGAGTTTGTTTTAGAAACTAAAAACTAAATCTTTCTGTTTTTGTAAACTAAGTGTTTAGTAACATATTTACATATTTGGTGGAACTTCGGCTTAACTAATTAAAAAATATTGAAAGTTTCCATAATATTAGTTCATTGCTATGACGACATAATATATCCTTAGCTCAGTTTTTAACTCCTTCCTTACTTCTTTACTTCACACTTTTATTCCCTTGGTTACATCGATTTAACCTTGTGCGGAGCATTCCGTGACTTCGATGCACTTCAGACTGTAAAATTTTACATTTTGCTTTTTCTGGCTTCGCAACTTGGTTCGATATTCTTGGCCGTTTAGTGCAGAGACTTTAAAAATAGAGTTTAGATAACTTATAATAAATAACAATGGTTTTTTAATAATACATTATAAAGGTAAACAAACACGTTATATAACTTTATAATAAATAAATTTTTATTTGATAATAAAACATTTATATTTTTGTGTGTAGCAAATTTTTTCGAAGTGAACAAAATACAAAGATTTATAGAATTAATAATGGTAAATAATGGAGAGCCAACCAACTGAATCTGTTGCTTCCGGAAACGCAGAAGAGGATTGGGAGATTTATCAAATTTTATGTGAAGGGGATCAACAAAAGGAAGTAAAGGTAATTGTATTTATTTTGTCATATTTAGTAGTTTGCTTTATAGTTAGTTAAGTTTAGTAGTTGCTAGTAGTTAGTTAATAGTATAAAATAAAAGTTTCATAACATATCTAAAAGTTATTTATAGCAGTGCGTAGACAGTGTACAATTGAAGGGCTTATTGTAATAACATGATAATTAGCAATTAGTGTTTCTCTTGCCTTTTATTCAACAAATTTGTAAGATAAATATTTAGCCAGTTAAACTAAACTATCTCTAAAACATCTTCAAATTTATATTTATTAATATTTAAATTCACATATTTTTTCAAGACCGCAAAGTCTAATAATTCAGAATTATAGATTCGTGGCATATGTATTGTTATTACAATAAGCCCTTTAATTGTACGTAGAACACAATATCTGCCAAATGGCTACCATGACTTCTCTGGCAGCACGCAATTCTTTTGTTGAAGTTTGCCATTACTGTTATGTTTAGTTATTATTAGTTATGTCACGAATTATTCGCCTAAATTATTCTTTCAATTGTTGAATGGTTTGGGAATTTTTTTAGCTTTGCTTTTCACTAGCTCCACAAAAAATAATTTAGCGGCGTAAACTCGCATGATCTTGGTGGCCAATTTACGTCCCCATTCCTGAAGATAAGCTCTCTCCAACCTGTGTACGCAATAAGTTCAATGTTTCACCTGTTATATGACATGTCGCACCATCTTGTTGGAACCACATATTCCCTATATCCATATCCCTTATTTGATCCCGCAAAAAACATCAATCATCATTCGGTGTCGTTCTCCGTTTACTGTAACAACTTGTCCGTTTTCATCTTCTTAATGCTTGACTTGACGCTGCTAGATTATTTTTTGTGGGGCTATGTGAAAAGCAAAGCTTACGAAAACAATCCGCAAATCATTCAATAATTGAAAGAATAAAGGAGGCGAATAATTCGACATAACTCCAGAAATGTGTTCAGCACTAATGTAAAATTTCAATAAAAGATTTGTGTGTGCTAGAGAAGTCGTGGTAGCCATTTGGTGGATATTGTGTTCCCATATAATTGTACACTGTCCAGCTACGCACTGCCTTAAATATCTTTCAGTTATGTTATGAAACTTTTATTTTATTCGTTATCAACGAATAAAATAAAAGAACGAAACCGCTTATTGGAATGCTCTTTATTTCAGAGTTTGCTTTAACTTGATATTGTACTGCAAAATTATTTTTATATACATATCCTGCAAAGCTGAGATGTGAAGAAAAAAATTACAAAAATGCGGGTTTATTTTATTGCCATCTTTGAACATATACCGGGTGCATCTCAAAAGTGGCTCACCTCTATAACTTATTTTTTCAGATAAAAAAAAACGAGATTTGGTGTGTTAGTATATTACATATGAGAACTTGGGTATGTTTTGGTTTAAATAAAACATACAGCTTCGCAAAATGTTTATATATTGCCCAATTTGGCACCAAAAACAGAATAATCACAATAACAAAACAACAATAATCTCCCGGTCGTAGACAACTATTACTCCGCAGTCTCCATATGTCACGCCACAGCACAAATGTACCGCCTCTCTGGGTGACTTGGCGCCAGCCGCCAGCACTCGTCGACACATCCCAGGGTCATCCAGCCTACTGCATATGTTCTCCGGTTAGAGAACACCAGGGGTGCCAACACTCGGCCTTCCTGACTGGATGTTGTCGATCATCTACCTGAATATAATAATATATATATTTAGATCTAAAAATAACTATATTTAGGTTATCACAAGATAATGCCCAAAGATTCGACAGAGTCTCGCCTTAGTGATTCTCAGAATCGGATATTTCAACATATTCGCTAGGGTATCTAATCTCCTCAGACTATTCAATCCCTGACAGCGAATGATTGCTCAGAACAGCACAATTCTGACGTACACTACAGGAGGTGCTTTCAACGGCAATTTAAGTGCTCGGAAAACTCAATTTTCCAAAGGCAGATCAGATTGTCACAGGAGGCACGGAGACCACAAGCCATCTGCACTCCGACGTACAATCAATAATCGGAAATCTGCGAGCCAACGGCACAACCAATGCACAGGTTCAGATTTCGAATAACAGATGAATGCACAGACATTTATGTTTCAATGGTACCAAAAACATGCAGTCAACGGCATTTATGTCGGCTACTTCATAGCGATCGTTTTCAAGCGACTTGACAATGCGGAAAGGTCCTTTCCACTTAGGAACGAGCTTGCGGTACTTCCCAGTACTGACAATAGAAGAGATCTTCACAAGAACCAGGTCTCCTTCCGTAAATGTAACAGGATTCCCTCTGTGTGAGTCGAAACTAGCTTTCTGCCGTAGTTGACCTTTGCTGATTTTCTCGCTGATGGATTGTCGAAGTTTCAGGACATCTACATCACTTTCGGACTCCAACCAACCAATATTTTCAGGTTCTGCTCGATACCCTAGCAACGCTTCTGCAGGGGTAGTAGCAATGGCTTTATTCAACGTGTTGTTGAGCCCCAACTGAATATTGGTGATGTTTTCATCCCATTCATCATCTTCTGCACCTGCACCCATTGTTGCCAAAGAATCGAGAACAGTTCTATTGTACCGCTCGACCTGTCCATTACCGCGAGGCATGCCAACAGCATTCAGATCTAGCTGTATTTGATGCTTATCACAGAACTCCCTCATCATCTTGGAAATCCATCGGTTTACATCGTAATGCAATGGATCGAATTCAGAAATATCGGTATCTCGCACAGACATACCCATCCGTGGCCTATGTTCACTTTTAACTAAATCAATTATATCTAGGAAACCTGATTTTAGTAAGTCATTAACTCTCAGGGGCGGTGTGTAGGAACGTTTTTCTTGATCATGCTTTTTCACTTTTTTCTGACGTTCTTCACTGCTAGACGAGCTGCTGGAAGAGCTACTTCGCTGTCGGCGTCTATGATGCTTTCGTTTTCCCATTTTCACTCGTGAAAACACAACTTTAGTACTAAAATGACGAACTTCACTAATTAATTCCGTTTCTGATGAGAACTTGGGTATGCTTTAGTTTAAATAAAACATACAGCTTCGCAAAATGTTTATATATTGCCCAATTTGGCACCAAAAACAGAATAATCACAATAACGAAACAACAATAATCTCCCGGTCGTAGACAACTATTACTGCGCAGTCTCCATATGTCACGCCACAGCACAAATGTACCGCCTCTCTGGGTGACTTGGCGCCAGCCGCCAGCACTCGTCGACACATCCCAGGGTCATCCAGCCTAGTGCATATGTTCTCCGGTTAGAGAACACCAGGGGTGCCAACACATATATGAGAATTGATTGAAGTATTCAATTTTTTTCGGTCACTTCCTGTTTCACCGGAAATAACTACAACTTTTTATTTTTAAATAGCACCTTCGACCTTTTATTTACTTTATTCAGAAGAAAATGACACTCTGAATAGAATGACATGTCACATTAGACATGTCACATGCCAACTTTTGACATTTCCGCTTAAAAAATCGTTTTTAAATTTCAATCTAGAGTGCCATGGCTGTGTTGAAAACACTAATCAAGGAGCCTTTTAAAAATAGATTTGATCGTATAATGTTTTTCGTGTCTTGTCCCGGCCGGATAAAAGATGCCCAAATCATACTTTTAATCATATCTTATTTTCTTCAAATGGAACAAGGGTGGCTCATTAGCATATTTGGAAAAAGCATTTTTTAAGAATAATTTGGTACCACACATTTGGTATCGACACTCTGAATAGAATGACATAACATATGTTAGCTTTTGACATTTTCGCATATGGTTTATTTGAAATTGTAACATGCGGTTCATAAAGACAATTTTACTCGAAATATAAAAAGTGCTTTTCCCAAATATGCTAATAATTCACCCTTGTTCCATTTTGAAAAATTGAGTTATGATTTAACTGAACAGGCCAAGACACGAAAAACATTAGATGATCAAATCAATTTTCACAAGACTTCTTGATTAAAAATTAGCGTTTTTAACAATTTAGATTGAAATTTAAAGTACGATTTTTTTTAAGCGAAAATGTCAAAAGTTGTCATTTTATTCAGAGCGTCATTTTCTATCGAATAAAGGAAAACTATACCGAGCGTACCATTTAAAAATCACAAGTTGTTGTCCTTTCCGGTTAAACAGTAAGTGACCAAAAACAAGTTAATACGTCAATCCATCATAATTTATGTCCTATAATAACATACCAAATCTCGTTTTTTATCTGCAAAAATAAAAAACTTATAGGGACCAATTTTGATACGCACCCGGTATATAAAAATCGAGATAAAGATATACATATGTATTTTTTGATAATTTAATATTTTAAATATTCGTTTATTTCTAACTATTTCTTTCTTCTTATCGATAAAATTAAGATATATGCGGCATGAAATAAACTCTTTGAAAAGATCCTTGTGGATAAATTCTTCCAAACTTTCCGAAGATATACTATTTCATAAGTAGTGTCTCAAATGACATAGATTTTAGATATTTTTGGTACCAGGATAAAGGTTGTCTCCGCTTTTTTGATATCGATTCTATCGTTGATATTTTAATAAATTGTGTCAGTGACAGTATTAGTTTGTCCTCTGAATAAAACACTGGCAAAATTTGAAAAGTAAATTCCAAAAATTCAGGTAAAAATTCGAACTAAGGATCTCGAGATATATGTCTAGAACAGACAAGGATAATGTTTGAATAAACATAACTAATTATTTAAAATGAGTTGTTAAACGACTTTTATCGATTCTTGTCTGGAAAAGCTCTCTTTTATATGCTAATTTCTGCAAGACACGCTAATATACGTTGGTAAACCGAGGTATTGTAGTGCACCGAATGTATATTCACCGAACTGCTGTGTCCAATAATGTGTAAGTAAATTACTCTGTGCTCTGTTATTTTTAGACTGAAATAAACTATATTTCGATTGTCACCCAATACGTAACTGTAAGATTTATGCATATATCGATTAATCAAATATCGGTTTAAGTATAAAATATCAGAAAATGTTCATATCAAAATGAAAAAAAAAAAACTAAAATTTATTCTGATCATTCTTCTATTAGCTATTTTATTGATGAAGTTCTAAATCAATGCTTATTAAGATAGGTAAAGTTTCGAATCATTTTATAAAAAAATTGTATGCGTAACTATTATCATAATAAATATTTATTAAGTAAAATATATACAACTGTTTAAAAATATCATACAATTCAACAATATTATTTAGTAAGCTTTATCTTCGTGGTAGTTGTTGGTTTTCTTCATCTGCAACAAAAATTCTTCATCTGCAACAGTTTGAAGACTTTTAAGAATCTCCCTGGGCAGGTGGTATCGAAGGCATTGTTCTTTTTTTTATAATTTGGTCTGTGTCGTCTACATTTATACGCTTTTAATTTTTTTCTTAAGATTTTTATAATTTAATTGTGTTAATTCTTTCGGTAACATATTATATATTGGGTAGTTTCTGTTGTTAGTTTTTGTAAAAGTTTTTTTGAGTTCTCTTTGCTGTTGAATGTCTGATTTTCTTCTAGTTTCGTAAGTGTGTATTTCTTTGTTAGTTTTTAAAGAAATATTTGTTTTTATTAATTTATTTATGATTTTGTGTAGGTAGAAGTAATATATTATGATATTTTATTAATTGTCTTACGTTTAGTTCTGTTGGCGTTGGCTTATTTTGTTGTGTTTGTAGCATGTTTAAGTTTTTTTGTTTTTTTTATAGAAAAAGTTATACAGGTTGAGACAAAACTACTACTGAACATTGGTCACCTTTAAAATCAATTTACTCCTTTAGTTTAAATGGAATATCCAGTGTATTATTCCGATATTCAGTGGGGAATACATGTTTCTTAAAAATACTATTAAGATTGCCTACCCATCAAACAAATATTTTCCTAGATATTTTCACTTTTATGACTTGTGTAGATTTTTACTGGTTATAAAATTTACTGTTGATAAAATCTAGGTGTCTGATATTACTTCGACATAGTTGTGTAATTAGTTCAGCTTTAGCAACTAGTTAAAATAGCTAAATAAATTAAAAAGTCTCAGAAATTTTTCGAAAATGGAACCTTATCCTACATCAGAGAGAATTATTGATATGATTCTATTAGTTGGTGACTGCAGTGTGTATTCACCAAATAATAGAATATTTAAATGCTCCTGATTTTATCTAGTCTGGGCTTTTTATAGGGATATGTTAAAGACAAACAAATAAACAAACAAACAAACAACGCTTTATTGTACAAAAAGCCAAAACGGCTTCATCGACAAAGCACGCAAAAAACAAACAAAAGCACAAAAAAAATACAATACAACAAAAAATACACAATACAAATAATACAATTCAAAAAAAATTTAAGTCATTAAAATAACAAAAAGAATATACATGGACAATTACAGAACAGTATGCAGTAAATAGATATAATTTTAGAGTTATAAAATATTAAATACTTGACCTTTGACCAGTGTGTGAGATGATCAAAATTTTAAAATTCAAAATTGTTTATAATTAAACATCAACAAAAAAGTCGTTTACCGCATATAGGGCTCTCTCCAGTAAGTCTGATTTTAGAGCTTTTCGAAATGCGACAGGGTTTACAAAACTCGACCAACTATTGTCGACAACATGAGAAAAATGATTGTGGCTGTTTGTCGAAGTAGAACTCCACGTATGTGTTTTAACATGAAAAGATATTTTGAAAAAAAATCATTTTAAGCAGTAAAACAGGAAAGGAAGCATTTTGAGCATTTGATTTTATCTAGCTAATTTTTGTTACATAATTATAGCTTTATATTTAGTTTTGCTTCTGTGATAATTAAAATACGTTTTAAACGTGTATTTTTTTATTATAGTATTTTACCTCCTTTAATTTTTGTTAAATTAACACAGCCACCTAGATTTTTTCAAATAATAAAGATCTACTTACACAAAATCATAAAAATGAAAATATCTTGGAAAATCATTGTTTGGCAAAAATAATAACATTTTGAATATTTTTGAATTCGCTATTGAACACCGGAATAATATACCGGGTGTTCAATTTAAAATTAAGGAGTAACTTGCTTTTAAAAGTGACCAATATTCAGTATAAGTTTTGTCTCACCCTGTATAACTTTTCGGGTCAAATTTTAATTTTGTTTAATATACAATGCTTATGTAATTATATATCAGGATATACAGGGAATTTAGATACCTGTTATTGAAATATAAATTTTATTCTTCATTTTCACAAAATGTGAAATATGTCAAAATCTTTACATTTTAGGCATATGCTTCTTTAATAAAACTCACCTTTATTTATTTCCTAGAATCCGAAAATCAATTAATACATAGGGTGTTTCATTCCAAAAAACACGAATCTGATGACATTTTTTTGGGAACCACCCAGTATAACTATATATATTTCTATAAAATATTTTCAATTAACTTACATATAAAATTTGCTCCCAAAATTTTATTTCGATATAAACTACAGTTTTTCCTGGAGGCTCCGTGTCGTATGAGAGGCGCCACCCTGTACTGTATAGATTAACAGTGGTTGAATATGGGTGCTGAAATAATTGTAATGTATATTTTCGCCATCATTTATATATTTATACTGTTTATTTTGTGTATGTTCATTCAGAATATACACAGAATTAATAATTAGAATTTTTTGCCTAAAAAAGAATTTCAACACAGTTAAATATTCCCCTTATACAGGGTTGTTCACCACATACGACACGGAGTATTGTAGCTCAACGATTATATTTTTACAAATTGTAAGATTTGAGTTCGATGAAGGACTATTAGAGGTACAATTTAAAAATAATTTTACAAGATACAGAGTGTCTCAAATAAGTAAAAAATATCAAAGTTGTATTTTTTTAAATGGTACACCCTGTATATTATTACATTTTTAGTTTCTACGATTAAAATAAAGGTAAAGTTGTTTAAGGTTTATTATACTTAAACCTTACCGTTTTTGAAATATTTTCAATTTTGTGAAATTGCAGTAAAAATTTTAAGGCATCATTTCTCCAAGGGTATCAAAGTTTTTAATACTAAATATTTACTGAAGTTTATTTATTGATCAGTTATTCTGTTACAATAATAAAAATAATACTACCTTATACAGAGTGTCTAAAAATTTATTTTAAATAATTTCTAGCTTTAAACGCCAATAACTTCTTTAATTTAAATGGAACGTTCTGTATATTTTAGGAGAATCAGATGCACAATTTAATTGTCTGTCAAATTGTATTATACCATTTTTTACCTATACCTTCAAATTTTCATAGAAAATGCATTTTCTTATAATTTAGACCTCATTTATCAATATACCCATGGAATGTTGACATTTTAGATTGTTTTTAAAGCAACAAATGTACAAAATGTACAGGCTAGTAATATTATCGATTTTAACAAAACGATAATATTACTAGCCCATTTGTATGCAAAAAGAAAACTATTTAAATCTTTATAAAAGTGTATACCATTAATTAAATATAATACTATTATTTCTGGATTTGAGTCAGAAATCATTATAATAATAAGTTATCAAAATGAACGTCTCTGTTGTTATAAATAAGTATTTATTAAAAAATGAAATATCATTTTTAAGGTGTTACTTTTTACCACCCTGTCTAATACACATACAAAACTCAGTTTTTTAGTATTTGGGGCAATTATTATTAATCAACGCAAACAGTCAGTTAATGTAGTTTGAATACTGGAATCATATTAATTGGTCCTCTTTAACAAATATTTAAACAGTTTTTTTTTATTTTTTAATGTTTATTTCATTATATTGACAATATTAGTATCTGTACTCTTTAAAAATTTGGTACATCTTTAAGAATAATCTAAAATGTCAATATGCCATGGGTATATTGATAAATAAGTTCTAAATTACAAGAAAATGCATTTTCTACGGAAACTTAAAGAGATAGGTAAAAAATGGTATAATACAATTTGATAGACAATTAAATTGTGCATCTGATTCTCATAAAATATACAGGGTGTTCCATTTAAATTAAACAAGTTATTGCCATTTAAAGCTAATAATTATTTAAAATAAATTTTTAGATACTCTGTATAAGGTAGTATTATTTTTATTATTGTAATAGAATCACTGATCGATAAATAAACTTCAGTAAATATTTAGTATTAAAAACTTTGATACCCTTGGAGAAATGATGCCTTAAAATTTTTACTGCAATTTCACAAAATTGAAAATATTTCAAAAACGGTAAGGTTTAAGTATAATAAACCTTAAACAACTTTACCTTTATTTTAATCGTAGAAACTAAAAATGTAATAATATACAGGGTGTTCCATTTAAAAAAATACAACTTTGATATTTTTTACTTATTTGAGACACTCTGTATCTTGTAAAATTATTTTTAAATTGTACCTCTAATAGTCCTTCATCGAACCCAAATCTTACAATTTGTAAAAATATAATCGTTTAGCTACAATACTCCGTGTCGTATGTGGTGAACAACCCTGTATATCTTTCTTTAAAGATGGAAGACCATGGTGAAGTGGATGTAACAACTTCTCTAAGGAGCGAAGTAGCAGCTTTGCAATACAAAAGAGATAGATTAACACAAGAGGTAGAAGAAATGAGGTCACAAATACGATCCCGCGACCAGCGATGTCTGGAGTTACAAATGGAAGCAGAGCAACTCAGGGAACAATCAGCTAGGCAGAACGTTATCATTAGTTCGTTGAAAAAGCGAGTACATGAGTTGGAAGAAAGAGAACGAAATTTGTTTGCCTCTCAGGGAAGAAGTGAGATAGCTTTACAAACGGCTCAAAGAGATATCAGGTATGTAGTTCAATCATTACAGTTGGAGGTTGGAACCTTTGGTGTTATACAGCAAAATAAAACACTAAATCACCACAATACAGCAAAACATTTTTCTTTTACATTGGACGCGTGTTTCGCTAACCATGTTAGCATAATCAGCAGATGATCAAGACTGATCTGTCTGTCAGTCTCAAGCAGATGACCAATCATCTGCTTGCAAACTTACGAGCAATACCAGTAATAGTTATACATATCTTACCTTGATCCAACTAACACATTATTGAGAATTTTTCTGAAACAGTAAACATAATATGATTTAGAAACATAGCAATACTACAGTATATTATTATTTAAGATTTTCACTCTTAATTCTTTAAGTATTCTAAGACTTTCAAAATTGTTTGAAACTGTCTTAGTAGTTCTTGGCAGTAGGTATTTTTATTGAAAAAGAATAAAAAATAACTTTCTGCATTTATTTTAATTTTTGCTTTTTGAGAGCTAAATATGTAGTTTCAAATACGTTCGTAGACTAAAAATTAACAACCAAATTAAGAAAAAAATCAACAATTATTACTGCGGGATTATGAGTAGAGTTACAAAGTTGCTGTTTTCACATCACTGCTACTTTTTTATGAAACTAAAGATGCTAGGTATTTATGCTTCGTGGATTACGAAAAGGCCTTCGATAACGTATGTTGGGGACAGTTGTGGAGTATAGTGGCTAAAATGGGAGTATTGTTACATTTGTATTCTTACATTTGTCAGATAAGAAAATGAATACGTCAGGGTTGCGGTCCCAATGCTGTTTAACATCTACAGCGAATACAGTATGGGGATTGTACTGGAGGAATGGGCAGGTGGTGTATCACGGAATGGCTACAGAATATCAAACCTACGTTTTGCTGAAAACACAGTATTGGTAGCCGCAAACCAGCTAGAACTGGAAGCAATTATAACAAGATTGGAAGCTATCAGTAGACAGTTCGGCCTTCGCTTCAATTACAAAAAAATAAAAACTAAAGTGATGATTGTTGATCGCGAAAACAACAACCGCCCAGATATCACAAACATAAACCGCTGCCAAGTTGTGCAACAATTTATATATTTAGGTGCACTTATATCTAATACCAGTAGTTGTGAAGTGGAAATTCGCCGCAGAATTCAACTGGGCCGTAACGCTATGACGCAGCTTACCAAAGTTTAGTCGAACAGTCATATAACAAAATCGAAAAAAATCAATGCTTCGGAGACATTGACATTGTTAGCAGCCGACAGACGACGCATTGACGCCTTTGAGATATGGTGCTAGAAGAGGATGTTGCGAATACCAGCACATCGCACCAATGTGTCCGTCCTTAACGAAATCCAATTACCACAAAGACTTTCCAGCACTGTTTATAAACGTATACTTTCCTTCTCCTCTGCCGTGTCAACAGGAGCGTGCACATGGAGAAACTGGTAGTACAAGGAAGACCTGCAGGATCCCGTCACCGAGGCAGATCACTAATCAGGTGGGTGGATATGGTTGAAAACCTTATGAATACCAACCTAGAGGAGCCGTTCGAAGGACAGAAAACAGGGAAAATTGGAAAGCCAGAACCAGAGCAAGTACACGTCGTACGCGACTTACGGACTTACACGACGAAAGATGCTATATAGTCAAATCGTATATCCTAGACCTCTTAATTCCTGAAATACAGGGCAAAATTAAAAATGTTGCATTTTTCGACCCCCTTCATATCTCGGGTATCTTATAACTTATAACTATTGTTTTATAACTGTAAAAGTTTCTATCTAAAAAAGCACATAGTTTAATCAAACCACAAGTTTAATCAAAATGTTGTTATATTTAAGTTTATATCACTTATGTTTCTTTTTTTGTTAAAAATATTTTACATATTTTATTAAAAAAAAGTCATTTTATTTCATTTTCATGCAAATAACGTTTTTGAGCACGAGATTTGCTAATCAAATAATTGATCCTTTATCTGTATACAATACTTAAGAAATACTATTTGCTTTTGTCCGCAATAAAATGTAATTTTTAGATACAATGAAGAAAAAGCGAAAGAAATGGAATCGAAGGTCAGACATCTTGAACTTGAACTACTAGCAGAGGAGAAAAAGAAAGAAGCCGCTCGAACGCAGTTTCAAGATTTTGTAAGGAGATTATCCGTCGCATTAGGCGCTGACATTATTGACAGTTCCAGTGTTTCCACCGAAGCACTAGTGCTAAAAGCATCCGAATTAGTGCAGGTATAAAGTCGATTTTTAATTTTTCTACTTTTTATCTAAATTGAAATATAATCAGCAAATAAACTATTCATATTTTTCACGTTTATTTATTTGTATACATATTACAATATTCAATATGTGAGTGATGGATAGGCAATGAGGAGTGATGCGTAGTCAATATGTGAAGTGTATGAACAAAAAACGTGACAAAAAACTATGTGCGCATATTTGAAGTAAAACTTCTTACTAATCGCTATTAAATTGAAGAATTTGAAGTACATGTTTGAAAAAGTAATAAATTAAAAATTAATAAATAATTTGATTCACTTTCACAAAATTTATACTAAAATGATTGTCTGAGGACTCCATTCGGGTACCTCTATCCACGCGCCGAGTTTGGTTCCAATCGACCCATAATTAAGAAAAATTCTGATGATTTCGACCATTTAGAGGCATCGGTTTTTAAACGTCGAGGGCGCCATCCTGTAGCCCGTCCCCAATTATGCCAAAATCGTCCCACATTTTTTTAATATCAAATCCCTAGTCCCACCCTGATGAAGATGTAAACGAAACGTCGTATTCAATTTTGCGGGGTGGGATCGTGTGCACCGTCGCTGACATAGCCTACTAACCAAATTTGGTCCGGAGCAGACATGACGTTTTGACGTTTCTCACGTCAAAACAAAGTGTCACAGAGACATGTGTCGTGCACGGTCAAGTTGGTCTTGGTCCATTCTATCGACATACAAAATTTCATTTAAATTGGACGATTTTTTCGCCATTGAAGATGGGGTAGAGAAGTTTTACTTAAAAAAAAGTAATACTAGAAGAGCTGTGCACGCTAGGTCTTGGTCTTGCGTAAGTTTTGCCCTGTAGGGTCTTGGTCTTGCATATCTGGTAGTGGGTCTTGGTTGGTTGGTTGAAGTGGCGAATGCGACCTCTTGTCGAACTCCAATTAGCAGAATTGCCGTTTTGATACCACTCACCTTGAAACACTATTCCTAGAGATGATATAGTTGGATTGTTAAGTGTTTATAACCCTTTGGTAGCATTGAGAAAACGGGTGACTTCCGTTATTCTTTTCCCGTCTTCAAGATATACGAAGGTGTCCTTTGATCATTCTTTCGGGTCCTTTGTTAAAAAACTTTGTTAAAAAGGATGCCTATTCCCACCGCATCTTCACCATTTGGCCAGTGCCCTGTATATATAGTAAACCGCCTTTAGCCTGGCGATATCCTTACGCGACCTAATTATCAGCTCAGTGTTCTGCAGGTGCTTAACGTTTTCCATCTACTGTTTACCATAGACAGAAAGCAGAGTTAAATGTTTTTTTTTTGTGGTATTGAGAGGATTAAAGACATCTGATGTATGAGGCCAAAAGAGATCGTCAGCGCGTTCTTTCATCAGTCAGGAACTAAAAGCAAGGTTATGTCGTAAATTTGTATGTCATAAATTTATGATGAGAAAAATGTGATTCTGTGGGGAAAATGGTTAAACACTAAAATATCTTATCACTGAGTGCGCCGAGACGACAATCGTTTGTGTCATAAACATTGGTACGATTCCTGTCGAAAATGGAGATTTGGCCTCTATGGAGATGTCTCAGATACTGTCTTTTGTCAAAGTCCTGAGACTGTATGATGAGTTATAACTCAGTTCCTCGCTCAGCCATTCGCAGGCCTTCTAAATAGCAAGTACCTCTGCCTGAAAAACACTTGATCTGTCCAGAAGCCGACAAGATCTTGCGATATCAAGACCTTTCGAGAGAACTGCCACACTTACGCCTGAATCCATCTCGAATCTAATAGTGCAATGTCGAATTCCTTCAATAAATTGTGAGTCTCCCACTCCTTTCTAGTTGTGATTCTGACTTGAAAGTGTCAGATAATCTAATGGTACAGCCATAATATCCTTCGGTAATCTTCCAGCAATACTGTTGTGATCATAGAGTTCCTATGATTTGGCTGTGGGCGTCGAGGTGGGCGTTGATCTTAACGCTCTTGTAACGCACACGCAACTCTACTTTTCCAAGTTTGGAAAGATTGGCTCTCTTTTCCAAAGCTGGCAACCATACCTGGGATACACGGTTGGGTCCCTACTTCGTCAAGCACTCGGTAGTGAGTCTTGCTTTTTCTGCAAAACCAAGACTAATTTTGCACAATGTTCGAAAAATATTCGCATGATATAAAAGCAATTTTCTTTAAAAAAAAATAATTTTGTGTACATGTTCAACTAGGAAACATCTAGATTAAGAAACAAAGCTCACAATATAAGCGACACACTTGGATCTGCTGAAATAGAACTCCGAACTTGTAGAGATAATCTGAATAGAGCTCTGGAAGATAAAGAAATTCTACAAAGACAGTCTGCCAATCAAGTAAGAGAAATTTTTAATTGAAATTAAATCAAGATTGAAAAAAGCTTATAAAAAAGACAGTATATAAAATGAATATTAAATTGAACGTTTAGTTTTTAATATTAAATTAATTATTAATGTAATTATGTTTATCAAATACAGATTATAGAAATTGATCGTCTCAGACAGGAAAAGGAATCTTTAGAAATGCAACATCGTGTCACGGAAAGAGAACTGTTAGAACTGAAAGAAAAACTAGCGATGTCTACACGAAGTTTAGGATCTGCTAGTGGAAATATTGCTCAACAAGAATCCTTAATTTGCCAACTGAGAGGTATCTACTACTACTATCTATCGTTATTTTCTTCTATACGAAAATTATGTGGTAAATATGTACAGAGTGGGTCAAATTGGACACTTTTAAAGTGAAACACCCTTTTCTATAGGAGATAGATGAAAACTAATATTGGTGTCTGGAGCTCAATTTTCATCAAAAACATGATGGTGAAAACCGCACATCAATATCTGTTAACGTTTCGGAGTTACGGGGTGTTTTTCAAAAATGTGCATTTTTAACAAATCGCTATAACTTTTTTGCTATGGAAAAATTTGTATTTCTATGAAAACATTTCCAAAGCACCTTTTTACGTAGAATCTAATGGTTTAAGTATATATATTTTTAAATTAATAATTTAAGAGTTATCAACAGAAAAATTGATTTTTTATTTGGGACATCCTGTATATTTTTAATTAACTGAACTGAAAAGAACTCCAGACTTACCTTTCCAGAACTTAATTAACTGAAAAGAACTCCAGACTTACCTTTCCAAAAATGTCACACTCTTGATATTTTGTTATAATTCCCTTCGAAATACAGAATTTTTAAAAGTTCGCCACCTTTAACTAGTAGGCTTTGGACCCTTATTGATGATCTGCCCCTAATGGAAGTCAAAAACATATTTTTCCAGCAAGACGAGGCACCGCCTCAGAACGCGTATGTTATCAGCAAATTGTTGCAGCCAATTTCAAGAATAGTTAGCCGTCTAGGCCGCGGGACTTAGTGCCTATGGATCTAATCCTATGGACATATTTGCGGAGGAATAAAGGTTATTATTTTTAAATTACCCGTATAATCTAGACAATAATTAGAAATACTTAGCAGTTATGAGAGGGTATCTTTCACCCCTAGTGAATTAATGAATTCCTCGGAAAATGTTCAAAAACGGCCCCGTCTGTCTATAACAGAAGACGGTCGATATGTCGAACACCTGTAGCAAAATCTCATGTCTTGTAAATTGCTTGCTATTTATTTTTATTGATGATTAGATATAGTTTCAATGTGTGATTGTTCTGCATCTGCATGTTAAAATTCTGCATCTCTCATAGCAAATATTATTTTCGTTTTAATTGATGCTCACAGCTAGAATTTTTTTGCATTACAGCCGGCGCCGTTCAAAGCCTACTTATTTAAAGTGGGCGAATTTTTATAAACTCTATATCTCGAAGAGAAATCAAGCAAAATATCAAGTGTGCTATATTTTTGGAAAGATAATTTTAAATTCTTTTCAAAAAATCAAATTTTCTGTTGATAATTCTTAAATTATTAATTTAAAAAAAATTATAATTAAACCATTAAATTCTACGTAAAAAAATGCTTTGGAAATGTTTTCATAAAACTACAAAATTTTCCATAGCAAAAAAGTTACAGCGATTTGTTAAAAATGCATATTTTTTAAGAACACCCCGTAATTACGAAACGGTTAGATCGATATGCGGTTTTCACCATCATGTTTTTGACAAAAATTGAGCTCCAGGCAGCGATATTAGTTTTCGTCTATCTCCTATAGAAAAGGGTGTTTCCCTTTAAAAGCATTCAATATGGCCCATCCTGTACAGTGTTCAATTTTGATTGGAATTGATGGGCATCTCTCTTATTATTTAAGACAGAACCTTACGTCCCCTTTAGTTAAAATTGCCTTTAGTTAACAGTTTCATAAAAATTGCAATTGTTCTATGGGACAAAACGCTTGCAAAATATTAAGTCGATCGTGTAATTCATGGCAAAGTTTAATAATGTACATTAGAAAATAGCGGTAGAATATTTTTTTTATTTTAATAAACATAACATTTTTCTTTGTCGAAATCAAGATGATCTAAAACTGAAAGAAGACAAAATTCAGAGGTTGCAATCGGACCAAAAACATACGCTTGAGTCAATAGCTATTTTACTGAGCACACCAACGAGGTTCGTTGATTCTTTAGAGGGGCCAATCAAAGAAAAAATACATGAAATTTTATCTGAAAACAAAGAAAAGTCGTTGGTAAGTAATTCTAGATTTATATTTAAGTGTTGATATAGAAAATATTACTCTAATTTATTTTCATATTAGTGAATTATAATTTGGTTACTACATTCTAAATTATTGGTTTTGGTTTAATTGGGCTAATAACTAATCGATAATACAGTTGGGGGGTTTGAACCTTTCGTGTGCTTTCGTGTTATAACAGCAAATCAAAACACTAATTCACCACAATACACCAAAACACTTTACTTATAAAACTATAAGCGTGTTTCGCTAACCATGTTAGCATCATCAGCAGTAACATGGTTAGCTAAATGCCATTCCAGTGTTAAAAGTAAATTTTTTTTTAAGTTTTTTGTTTATTGTGGTGAATAAAGCTTGATTTTCATGCTTCCGTTATCCGTTGATAGATGGTCCGACGACGCAGTGATTTTCATCTGTAATTTTTTTATTCCAGTCCATCAACGGAGAAAATTCGTACGATAACGGACGTTTTGACAAATTTAATCTAACCTTAATAAAATAAAATAGTACAAGAGGGAAAACCGTCGGAAAAACGTGAATTTTAAGAAAGCTGGTTCTTTAATATATATTTTACTATGCTCTTCTGTGCTCTCCTGACCAAGTCCGGCTCGTCGCGTCGTGCTGCCGGTAGACTACTGCGGTTCACTACCACGTACCACATCTGTATAGGGTATCCCATTTTTGTGTGTTTTATGGGATTTCTCGTTTATGAATAGAGCTACAATGATGCGATTTTCACATTACTTTGTTACTTTTTTTTACATGTTCTAGCCTCCTTAGTTCCTGAAATACCGGGCGAATTTGTGATGCGCAGTAGTGAACAGATGTTGAATACAGATATGGGATGCGCAATAGTGGTAGCGCAACGTCTACCGGTAGCGAGACGGTCTGCACTCTGTTCAGAAGAGCATAGCAAAAGATATATTAAACGGCACGGAGGGCCAAACTCCAACCGCGGAAGGGTGTGTACCCTCGGAGGAAGAACTGTTGTCAGAGGATGATGGGAAATACCCTGTCCCCTCTACAACAGGGGTATGATGGGTTTGGTTAGGTTTTTGTTTAGGTTTTTGGTTGGTTGATAGACTGTGCGATGACTCAAGGAAGGGTGGCACAATAGATCATTAAGGTCGCAGTGATTAACCCCCCCCTCTTCCCCATTCTACATTCTATGCTCTTCTATGCTCTCCAGACCAAAGTACGGACCGTAGGGCTGCCGGTAGACTACTGCGGTTCACTACCGCGTATCAAATCTGTATAGGGTATCCCATTTTCGTGTGTTTTATGGGATTTCTCGTTTATGAATAGAGATACAATGATGCGATTTTCACATTACTTTGCTACTTTTTTATGAAACTGTAAATGGGCGAATTTGTGATGCGCAGTAGTGAACAGATGTTGAATACAGATATGATGCGCAATAGTGAACGCAACGTCTACCGGTAGCGAGACGGTCCGCACTCTGTTCAGAAGAGCATAGCAAAAGATATATTAAAGAACCAGCTTTCTTAAAATTCTCTCTCGAAAACGTTGCTAGCTCTTAGACTATAAATAAAACAGTGGAATCGTTATGGAAATGAAAATATAAAATTACGCCAATCACAAATCGTACATCCGTTGAACGGAGGCATCAAAATACAAGAAATTTAAAAACTGCGTAATTTTCTGACCAATCGAAGTCTATAAATTCTACCAATAAAATTAATATCGTATCATCGTATCGTCGGATAACGGATACATGAAAATTAAGCTTAAGTGTTTTATTCAAATTTTTTAAATACTAAATATCGGTAATACTGCGGGTGTGGGTATTACTAAGGATATTAATTTAACACTTAACGGCTATAGAGTGGTCTGCCACTGCCAGACACCTCGAGCTAAATATTCCTCTAAATTTCGTAAACACCTGCAATTGTAGTAATGAGTATGCATATAGTTTCAAGTCAATAGGTGTTCGATAAGTTAATAAAGCGATAAACTCATTAGTTGAAGTGCTGATTTATTGAATATAAAGAAATTCGAGTGGTGTCTACCGGACCTGCGCTGCGTAGCGACTGGAAATATTTTTTAAATTAATTTTTGGATGTTGAATTGTTTTTTTTTATTTATTTGTTTTATTATAGATATACAGGGTGGTCCGAACTGTATTCCGGAAACTTGGGCAGCATATTCTATTGATAAAAATAAATAAAAAAGTTCGTATAAATGTATGTCTTAAAATGCTTAGTTTCGGATACAGGGTATAGAAGTTTCATTTTTATTTTGTTTTTTTTCAAATAATGTCTGAAGTAACGTCAATATTTGGATGAAAATTGGTGTCTGGGAGTTTTTTGATTTAAGAAATTTGATTTTGATGTAATTATGACTCCTATTTGTATAGGACGCCACCTATATACTTTTTGACTGGTTTGAAGAGTAATAACTTTTCGTCCGTACCTGTATAAAACTAATAAATAAAAAAAATATACATCTACGAGGGTTTCTACGTAAAAAAGATCTTTTGGCAAAAATCGCTACGAGTAATGTTTCTCGATATATTTGGAATCGAAATTATCAATACCTGTCATCATTAACATAAATTAAACATGTTGACTAAATAGTTGTTAGACTGAATTCATAAATTTCAAATGTTTTTGTGTCAAAAGTTTAACAGAAACTGTTTTATCATAATTTTTTCGAAGAAAAATATATGATTAATTTAAAAAAATAAAAAGTTCCCAAATTTATCGTTTCAGTTAAATAACTATCTACTCAACGTGTTAATTTTTTGCCAAAAATGTCATGTATTCACTATTTCCATTTTAAATATCTTGAGAATGATTGCTCGTGGCGATTTTTACCAAGAGACATTTTTTTTAAGTAATAAATCACGGAAATGTATATTTTTTCACTCAGTAGTTTTATACCAGGTACGGACCAAAATTTATTACTTTTCAAAACAGTTATCATTTAACACATGTAAATGACGCCCCCTAGAAATAGAAGCATATTGACATCACAATCAAATTTTTCATGTCAAAAAACTCCCAGACACAAATTTTCATCCATATTGACGTTACTTAAAAAATTATTTGGAAAAAGTCGAAATAAAAATCAAGCTTCTACACCCTGTATCTCCGAAACTAAGCATTATCGGACATACGATATATATACGACATACGATACATACGATATACATTTATACGAACTTTTTTACTTATTTTTATCTGCAGAATATGCTGCCGAACTTTCCGGAATACAATTCGAACCACTCTCTATACTAAAATTAAGTTAGGTATGTTCAAATTTATCACTAATAAATATTAAAAAATTGGTATTTATGGCCATTGATCATTCTTTCCAAATGGTTTGACGTTAGCACCAAAAATGCACATGTTATGCATCAAAGCTATACAAATGCCTTCAATATAGGATGTATAAATTTTCTTAAACATCTAGAAGCAAACAAGCTATTACAAATAAAATGATCGAAAAAAGGTTGTTCAACCAAAAAGCGCACCAAGAAAACTAAGATTGACACTATAGTATGCGAACAACAACTGAAGAGGAGTTACTATAAATGAAAACTCTTTGCTCTATGTGCTCTCACAAAATAAAAACAAACATCTAGAATCTCTGTACAATTTGTAAAACCATTTGTCCACATAGTACTCAAAACAAATATGTTTAAACTGCTGCGAGTACAAAAATAGGTGTAAATATTACTTTTTTGTGTTTACCACGTGATTTTTAAAATAACATTTAATTACCGATTTGTAATAATTGTTTCTATTACATTTTGTGTATATGTTACGGTTAAAGTCCGATGTCCGGCTAATGTCGATATTACCGGGTAATCTTGCGAATAACACAAAACAAAACAACCAAAAACATAACTAAACCCAAACATTAACCTGTTAATGTCGACATTAATTAACCTGACATGGGACTTTAACCGTAACATATATATTTTCAACTAACTCATGTAAACTCATAAAGAAATACAAAAACATTTTATGTTATGTTAAATTATGTAATTTAATAAAGGTGTCTACCGGACCACTCCGTAACGAATAAACAAAAATTATCCAGTGAAGCCGTTGAGGGTCAAATTTATTAGAATTTAGTTGACACTATTTTAATCCCTTTATCATTAATATTCTTTTGTTCTAGTTAATTGATAATTTAAAAGACAAATTAAACAACGAAACGCAACAACTCAGTAGACAAATATCTTTATACGAGCAAGCCAATTCTAGAATAAGACTATTAGAAGACGAAAAAAATCATCTTGAAGCAAGATTACACAAAGTAGATGCAGAATATAACTCTTGTGAATTAAGCAGAGATGGACTGAAGCGTGATAAATGCACTGTAATTATTTTTATATTAAATTCAGATTTAGAGTTATTAATATTTTGTTTTAGTTTATGAATTTCTTAGAACGACTGGCAAGAGCACTGAACATGGATGAAATATCTCACGATATTGGTGTTGAATTGCATACAGAGTCATTACTTTTAAGAGCTGAACAATTAGCACGACTGGAAAGTGACAAATTGGTTGACAAAGTAAGTTAAAAATTACAAGCCCTAAATAATAATAATAATATCTCCCGTATACTAATATTAATTACATACTATGTGACGTGATATGAAAGCGAGCATAGAAGTTGCAACACCTAGTAAATGTAAATATATTTTATGAAGTTTATTAAGTATTGTAGTACATGATTAATAATCGATGATATTTTTAAACAAATTTATTCAAAATTATTTAAAAGGAATTCTTAAAAATTCAATAGGTGCACCTTCGCGTATGTTTTTCTCATGAATATGTAATCAGATGGTCGAAATCTTCCGGTGGTAGGTTCTTCCAGGCTAATATTACCTCGTGGCGAATTTAGTATAATTCAGTATAAGATGTGGCAATTCAGCCTTCTACCTATCACATCCCAGAGATGTTCAATAGGCAATAAGTCTGATGATATTGCCGGCTACGGAAGAAAATACGAACATTAGGTGGGCACACACGAGAGGTATTTTTAAACAATCTGTCCTGCTCGATATGTCATATCAATCCCGCCGATCTGGTCTGCGAGGGGATCTTTCATTGCCCACTAATGTAAATATCAAATCTCTCATTTTCTGAACGGGATTGATCTGTGAAGGGACAAATCCGTTAGCTATATAGCTCTCAAATTTTAAAGGGATTGAACAGCGGGTTAGATATTTTATACTCGTATAAAATCTCGACAGATTTTCGGTAAAAGACCCAAGGAACAAAAGTGGCATTATTGGGTTTCTATATGCTGGAAATTATAAAAAAAAAAGTTATACTAAAATATTTCAATCTAAGTGGATAAAAAATGGGTCCAAGAAAGACAAAAATATGGGTACCCATGTCCTTACTTCGTGAACTTCCTGAAATTTTAAAAATTTTATCTGCGAATGAGTACTTGAAATTTTTGTTAAAAAAATTTACAAGCTCTTGTGTCTTGTGTTACATCTTTACGTTTTTATTAGTAATTTTTGTCTCTTATCTATACTAATATATAAAATCCTTAAGTGACTGACTCACTGATTAATCACGATTCTGCTCAAACCACTCAACGTAAGAAGCTCAATTTCGACATGCAGGTTGATTCTAGGGTGTAGAGGTTCGACAAAAAGGGATTTTTCGAAATTCCAGTTCCAAGGGGGTGAATCCACCCCTCCAATTTTACATTATTTTTTATTTAAAAAACGGTCAAGTTTCCGAAAAAACGCTTAAACACGTATATTTTATTTTGTTTTTTTACATATTTTAAGATTTTTTAAAAATGTATACAGGATGTTTCGAAAAATCTGGTCATTGATTAATCACGATCCTGCTTAAAACGCTTGACGTAAAAAGCTGATTTTTGGAAAACGGATTGACTTTAGGGTGTAGAGGTTCGATAAGAAGGGATTTCTTGAAACTTGAATTCTAAGGGGGTGAAACCACCCCTCAAATATTAGAATATTTTTTATTTAAAAACCGGTGAGTTTTTCGGAAAAACTCTTAAACACGTATATATTATATTGTTGTTTTACATATTTTAAGCTTTTTTAAAAATTTATACAGAAAGAGTTTAGAAAACACCCTAAAATATGACCATTGAGTAATGACGATTCTGCTTAAACTGCTTGACGTTTAAAGCTGATTTTTAGCAAACGGATTGACTGTGGGGTGTAGAGGTTCGATAAGGAGGGGTTCCTCGAATCTCAAATTCCAAGAGGGTGAGAAAGCTCGCCAAATATTACAATATTTGTTATTTAAAAAACGGTTAGTCTTTCGGGAAAACGCTTGGATACGCATAATTTATTTTGTTTTTTTACATATTTTGAAAGTTTTTAAAAAAATCATACAGGGTTTTCCAAAAAGTTGGGTAATTGATTAACCACGATTCTGCTTAAACTGCTTGACATAAAAAGCTTATTTTTTCAAAACTCAAATTCCAACGAGATGAAACTATGCCTCAAATATTATCAAGTTATATAATAATATTGCTATATTTTTTCTCAAACTGACATAAATGTGAGAAAAATTTATCCAGTTTGTATGTTAATGGAAATTCTTGCTTTGCTTTATCATCACCATTAGAAATGATAAATTCGACGTGAACGAAGTCGCGGGTATACGCTAGTTCTCCATAAACAAGGTCTTTGGCGATGCATTTCAATTAATTCAATCGAAGTTTCTTTTGTCCACTCCATATTTAATTAATGAAAAATAGTAGTTAATGAAAAATATGAAAAACACGTAGGGAAAGGATCTCACCCCACAGCGCACACTAACGGGCAGATATTTAAAAAGATTTATTACGTCGGTACAAAACTCTCAAAAGTTCCAACATTTCAAGCGGCCGCTACCGTTAACGTGCGGGTAAATAGTAGCGATTGATGGTCGAGAGGACAAATCTGCGTAAAATACCTCTCGTGTGTGCCGCGGTATGTTGTCTAGCATTGTCTTGCTGCAAAATTGGATCTTGCAGTTGCTGAATGTAGGGCAACGTGACAAGTTATAACACTTATTAACGTAGGATTGAGTGTTCGTGTTTCTGTCCAAAAAAACTAAGTGGCTTACTTCCAGCTGTTATGGCACCTCAAACCATAACAATCCTACTAAGCGTAGTCTCACGCTCCACGTAAAATTATAAAGTCGCTTTTCTCCATGTCTACGGCGGACTCTTCTACGGCCATGAGGAGCCCACAAACAAAAACCGGACTTGTCAAAGACAACCCGATTCTACTTCTGATTCCAACGAGCCCGTTCTTGACACCATGCCAGACGAACCTGTCTATTCTTCTTCTTCAAATGCCTTCTTCGTTGCGAAGGTTGGCAATCATCAGTGCTATACGTATTCGTGACACGGCCGACCGAAATAGTTGGTTTGTGGTGCACCCGAACCAGTCACGTAAGTTTCTCATCCATGAGTGGCGCCTTCTTCCTACACTTCTCTTTCCTTGAATTTTTCCTTGTAATATGAGTTGGAGTAGGTGGTACTTTTCTCCTCTCATGACGTGTCCAAGGTACTGAAGTTTACGCTTTTTTACCGTTATGATAATTTCTTTTTCCTTTTTTATTCTTTTCAGGATTTCCATGTTGGTCACTTTATCGGTCCATTTTACCCTAAGTATTCTACGGTACAACCATATTTCGAATGCCTCTAGTTTCCTTATGTCAAGTTTCTTCAGAGTCCAAGCCTCTACACCATAATACAGCACCGACAAAACATAGCATCGCACCATTCTGATTTTTAAATCCAAGCTGAGATCGCTGCCACAGAGCACTCTTTTCATTTTCACAAATGTTGTTCTCGCCTGTCCTATTCTAGTTTTAATTTCTTCAGAACAGTCGTTATTTTTATTTACAATTATACCTAAGTATTTATAACTGTCAACTTTTTCTATGGTGTGGTTATTTATATGAATTTGTGAATTGTTTGGTGTTGTTTTGGTTATTATCATAAATTTTGTCTTTTTTACATTTAGTGACAGTCCGAGCTCTTCACTCGATGTATTAACTTTATCTACTAATATCTATAAATCGTTTAGGTTGGCAGCCATCAGGATCGTATCATCCGCATATCTTATATTGTTGATAGGCACTCCGTTAATTTTTAGTCCTTTCGTTTCATCGTCCAATGCTCGTTTCATTATTTCCTCTGAATAGAGGTTAAATAACATCGGTGATGTTATTAGCACGCACTCCTGCCTAACGCCTCGACGGATTTCTATTTCTTCGGTGTTATTCCCTTCTATTTTTACCACTGCTTTTTGATTAAAATAAAGATTCGTAATAATTTTTATATCTCTGGTGTATAAGTTCTTTTCTTTCAGAACCTGGATAAGTTGTTCGTGTCTGACCCTATCGAAGGCTTTGTTGTAATCAATGAAACATATATAGAGATCCTGATTCATATCCATACATCGTTGGGCGAGAACGTTCAAAGCAAATAGTGCTTCTCTTGTGCCTAAGCCATCTTGGAAACCGAATTGAGTCTCGCTGATATCCTGTTCTAATGTTTTGTAAATCCTGTGATGTATCACCTTCAGAAGTTTTTTAGCGTATGACTCATTGACGGATTGTTCGAAAGTCTGTGCATTGCCTTGCATTACGTTTTTTCGGGATAGTGACGAACGCTGATAGCAACCATTCCCTGGGTATAATACCTGTTCTGTATATGGTGTTGAACAGATCTGTGTATGTTTTCCTCTTCTATCAACTTGAGAATTTCAGAGGGTAACTCATCATGCCCTGCGGCTTTTCCATCTTTTGTGATTTTTATAGCATGGATGACCTCTTCTTTAGTTATTTCCGGTCCGCTGTTTTCTTGTTCTGTTACTAGTCTGTTTATATCTCTCTCATCATCGAACAATTCTATTATGTAATTCTTCCACGTTCTTAGTTTTTCTTCCATTTCCATAATGTTTTGCCATTCTGGTCAGTGAGTATTGACGGTTGTCTTTTTTTCTGTAATCCTGCCAGTTCTTTTACTTTCTTGTGGACATTGAAGCTGTCATGCTTTTCTTGAAGGGCTTCTATTTCGTCGCATTTTCTTTTGTAGAACACCTCTTTTGCTTCTCTTATTTTTGATCGGATTTCTTTCTGAATATTCTTATATGCGTCGTTGTTGCCTTTTACACCACGTCGTTCGTCTTTTGCTGAAGTGGTCTCGAAAGGCACTAAGTCTTTTTTCGCGATTATTGTTTCTTCTTAATGTGCTCTTAGGATGTTTTACAACAATGTAACAACCCACTCTATCCAACATCACATCACTGTTTTTCGGCAAATCCTGCTTTCACTGTCCCGAAGGGATATCCTAGCCTCTCGTAGGTTTACTATACTCTACTTACTATATATCTCTTACTATACTCCGTCGTTCAAGTTCACATAGTTGACGATACACGACACCTCTTCTTATAGAAGGCATTGCTAAACGATGTTAATACCCCAAAGGCAAAGAAAGCGAACATTTCGAAACCAATTTTACAAAAAAAAAATAAAACTTGTTTTTTTTATCGACATTCAATAAAATCTGGTATTTTTTAAAGAGACTGGGCAAAAATGTTATCGTTTACTACGGTTCTTGCAGGCAATCAACGGACGAAACATTATAAATATAGCTAAACATATACGGGGTGTTGCCATTTCTATGTCATAGAGATATATTAATATTAATTATTGTGTATTAGCTCTTACCAATGCGTAACTAATAAAAAACTTTAAAAAAATTTAAAAAATCAATTCTCAAATGGACATAAAATATAATTAATAATTATTAAATGAGATTAAAAAACTAAATATTCACATTTTTTACTAAAATTTTGATTTGAAAATTGTTAAATTCTATAAAGTCAATAATTATACTAATAAATAATTTAAGATTGAAAATAGTCTAAATAAACAATCTTTCGAAAGTGTTGTAAATACTAAAATAATATGTTGCTTTATTCTGTATTAATATAATCATGAAATTTTTAATAAAATAATTAAATTTACATTTTTGTAATTTCACAAATTTTAGTTTCTAAATAAATAATATAGCTACTTTTTTAATTTGTATTTTTATAATCGTGTAGTATTTTAAAATTATAATATTTCTTATAAGCTGCTTTGTTGCGGATATGGAACATTGCCAAGACTATCTTGTTTAAGACGGGAGAGATCATTTCACGATATTCCATTACGTGATGTAAGATCATTTTACATTCACTCACAATTGCTCATTAAACTCATTAAATCATGTAACATTCACGCTTCAGCATTTATAATTGTAGTAGGATCTAAGGTTTTTTGATCAAGTAAACTAAAAAAATAATAATTCAGAATTAATCTGTGGGACTTTGTGGCAAATCCCATCCTGATATTTGAATTATAATCACACATTAATGTTTATTAATGTTCAGAATATCAAAAATTCGTTTGCAATCGTAAATTAAAAAAAAAGATTTAAAAATTATGTTTCAGTTATATACATATTATGTATATGTATATAAAATGTTCAAATCATAATTTGATTTGGGTATGTATTTTTCTAGACCTCGATGGTTTATCAACTGCAACGTCGCGTCCGCACACTCAGGGAACAAGTACAAAGAAAAGATCTTCATTTAGATCTTTTGCGTAGAAAACTGTCTTTGCAAGAAGACACCGCCAAAACAAAATGTCTGCTGCAAAGCGAAAGAGACGAGGCGAATGCGAGAGTGAAGAAATTGGTTAAACAAGTTGATCGACTGCAATTACAACTTAGTGAAGCCAAAAGCCAAATTAGGGATCTCAATAGTCAATTGGCCGAAGCAGCTGATTACAAGGTTAGTTTATTGATGTCAATGCCATGAATTCGTTATAAATATTTAGGAGTAAAGAGGGAAGGTTGATCATTGATCTAGTTGGTAATTCAGTTATTATTAATGGCGATATTTTATTTTATTTTATTTTATTTATCAACGGACAATAATTACCCAATATAAAAAAAATACAGTGACAGAAAATAGTAAAATAGCTAAACCTAACCTTAACATTAACATATCACAAAGTTAAAGTTTTATTAATTAAATTTAAAAGTCTAACAAACAGTAAAATTTATAAACGTATAATGTAAAAAAATAACATCAACATTTAAAGATAATATCACAAAGCACATACATTGTTTACAGACAGTCTTTTAGTTCTTTTTTAAATATACTATGAAAACAGTCCACTTGAGCTGATAGGTCGTTCGCCAGTCTTGCTGATCTTGTGAGAAAAGAGCTTTGGCCATAGTTGGTGCGACGCAAATTCACTTGAAAGGGGTGATTGAGTCTGGTCTGTCGAGAGGGGACATGAAGCCCAATCTTACTAGTAAGCCCAGGACTATGGGAGTTTGAGTGCAATAGATTGTAAAACATTGTAAGATCTCTGTACATACGACGAACCTGGAGAGATGTTATTTGGAGAGAATTTTCTAAAACTTGGTAGTCGACGTTTTTGTTCCCATTGCGTTCCTTAAATGCTATATACCTCAGGAACTTGTGTTGTACTCTTTCAATGGCCTGAATATGGATGTTATAAAAGGGAGACCACACACAGGAACAGTAATCCAGGTGAGGTCGTACCAGGGAGCAGAACAGTAGTCTGATAGAGGGAATCCTTTGAAAGTCCTTGGTGCAACGCTTGATAAATCCCAATATCTGAAGTGATTTTGACACTATTGATGATAAGTGACATGTGTAAGTCAGCTGGCTGTCAAGTAACACTCCCAGATCCTTTATTTGAGATACCTGCAGTAGGGTTGAACCATCAATATTGTAGATGTGATGTATGGGATTTCTTCTACGGCTGAAGATCATTAATTGACACTTGTTTGTGTTAAGTTCCATTCCATTAAGGTTGCACCACTTTAACAGGTGATCTAGATCAGATAGAAGTTTGTAGCAATCATCTTCACTTTGGACCTTCAAGTAAAACTTCAGATCATCTGCGAACAACAGAAAAAATGCATGTTGAAAGCAGGAGGCAATGTCATTCACATAGATATTGAAGAGTAGAGGTCCTAGATGTGAACCTTGTGGAACACCAGATGGAACTCTAATTTCATTAGACTGGAAGTTCTGAACACGCACAATTTGCGCTCTATCCGTGAGGTATGAGGCCAACCATACCAAAAGTTGTCCCTGGATTCCAAAATGCTGCAACTTCATAATAAGGATTTTGTGGTTCACCCTATCGAATGCCTTTGTGAAATCTGTGTATATGGCATGGATGTTGGACCCTTCTTCCAATGAATCCAAGAGAAAATCAGTATATGTGAGCAAGTTTAGCTCAGTGTAGCGATGTGGCAGGAATCCAAATTGTTGGTCCATAAAGCAATTTTTCACACAAGGAGACAGGTAGTCACATACCAAACTCTCAAATACTTTGGGAATACAACTCAAAATGCTAATAGGCCTGTAATTACTAACCTGGGAATTATCACCAGATTTCAGTATAGGGGTAATGAAGCTTGATTTCCAATAGATTGGAAAAATTCCTGTTTTTAGGGATTTATTAAAGATGATATGAAGTGGTCTAGAAAATATGAATATTAATATATTGATAATGAAGATATAAAAGCTATGAATCATAACTTGGATTGCAGCAGATTTAAATCTCGGGGCGTAAACTTAATTCTTTTCGATATATTTAAAGAAACAAAAACTTTTAACATCGAGAATTATTGAAAGATCTTACAGATTAAATGTGTCTCTCTTTCTTGAGTATATTACTCATCATACAGTTTCATGAATTTAACAAAAGCAAGTATCTGAGGCGGGTTGACAGAGGCTATTTCTCCATGTCATTCCAAAGTTCAAGGCACGAATGGTTGTCGTCTCAGCGTACTCAATGAAGAGGTGTTCTGGTGTTTCTCCAATTTCTTCCCAGAATCTGCATTTGTTGTTGTTTCTAAGCTTCAATCTACTGAGGTGTTCGTTGAGGAAATTTGTCCTGTTAAAAACTCCGTGACAAGAATCTTCCAAGTTTTTGCGTGCCGCTTTAAGTTGGTTTCCACTTGGGAAGCAGAACGGTTCTGATCCAGTTAGTGGAGTGCGCTCCTTTTCTAGCTGAATTGTTTACTTTTTTATTTCCTTCTTTTGCTAAATCGTTTACTTTCCCTTGGTAAGCTGGCACATTGCATATAAGATTTAAAGCTAGAAGCTTTGAATGCACCTCAATTACTATTTAGTATAGTTGCTAATGCATAAGTAAGTTATTTATAAGATTCTAATACCCTATACTATTTAACAATAGGTATCTAGTGAACAAGTGTTTACTAAATTCAAATTTGATTGAATTTGAAAAAAAAATATTTGAAACACTGCTCAACTACAGATTTATAATTATACCTACGGCCTACGCCTCATGGTCTCCCAAATGAATTCTAGATATTATCATACTATTTATTTATTTTATTTTAGATCACTGCTTTAGAACGTGGAAGGAAAATTGAAGAACTCCAAAAAAGACTGATGGAATCGGAAACTTTAAGGACCAAGTATAATAGAAAGGTGACATTGCTGAAAGACCAAATTCGTCATAGCGGTGATACGATAGATCAAGAAAGAAATATTAGTGAACATTCCATGCAAATATTAAGGTAATAACTATATTTTCTAATATTTTTAATAACTTATTTTTTATATAAATTGATAACTTGTTAATATATTATATCAACGTAAAGATATTCAGAACCTCGTAATTAGTGGAATAAATTAGTGGTTTCAATTACACCAAAGAATATACCTAGCTAGAAAAAGAATGGACTCTGCCATACAGAAAAATGGTCCTACAGAAGTGGCGCCATCTATTGAGTAGGGCTTGTTTTAAATGGATGGAAGCGCGGGCTTTTTAAATGAGCGTATTTATTGAATTCTACTCTAAAATAATTAAATTTGATTATTAAATCTTACCTTTTACACAAATTCAACAATACTAATAACAAGTATCGTTGTGACGTGTAAAAAATAAGATTTAACAGTATAACTTATACAATTATTAAATAAAATTAAAGTCAAACATGTGAAATATTATTTATTAAGTTTTTATTTATAAGTCAAATATTTAAACATCGTTTATTATAATAAAACAAGACCAACGTAATACGCCCAAAGTTTTGTAAATGGAGTAAATATAAATAGGTACTTAAATGATAGCAAAAATAAAAGACTCTCATTATATTTTTAGGGCCACAAACAAAAGGAATTGTCTAATTAAAACACATATAACAAATTATAGTTTGAAAAACATTTTGATAATCATTTATTTGATAATATTATGATTGGCGCTATGACAACGACAATATTTTTTGAGAATTTGACAATAATATGACAATGGCCGTTGGGAACTATGGAAACTACAAAAAAATTCTGATTTAACGCCATCTGGCAATAACTAGTAGCAACTTCTTAACCTAAAAATTAATTGCACTACCACCTAGTGGCTAGGGCTGGAACTATTTTATTTGAGATTTCCGTGGAAACGGTAGAACCACTTTTGCTATTTCACTTTCCCGCCCCTGAATTACACTATACTTTTTAGTTTACAATGATTCACGATGTCTAAAAAATTGAAATAAAACTAATAGAATATCCTAGCAACAGCTTGCTGTAGTTGTATCCATAGAGAAAACATAATATTTAGTAGTAGTGGGAACTATCGAATGAATACTATCGAAACATTCGATAGTTGCAATTCATTCGAATAATTCGATAGTAAGAAAACATTCGTTGAAAACTATTCGAATAAAAATTATCGAATAGATCCGTCATCTGCCTTGAAATATTGTATTCTAGTAATTCGGCAGCAAAAACCATTCATTTATAAAATTCATTCATTTATGAAATTCATTTATTCGTCAGGATCGATTATAATAAAATATTAACTGAATTTTAGTTGTGTAGCGCCTGGCGACGTAGTTTCTTTCCGAGAAACCCAACAGCGGTCGGTGGCAATGCTATGAAAGAAGCCGGCATCTTTGATTTTTTGCGGAGTCAGATATAGATAAGGACACATTATTTTTTTATTGAGGTGCTAGTATTTACACAGAAAATTTCACACCTCTACTTTTCAAACAATAACATGCTTTAATGTTGACTAGTTACCATGGCAACTGAAAAAATTTCCGGAAATTTTTTCGAGGCGCCACGAAACTTTAGTGGAAATTTTTTGACAGTTGAAAAGGTAAACATAAGATCTACAATCATAATGTGAATGAACTACAGTGTCTATATATTGAAATATTACCCATTTGAGTTTTAGCATTTGATGTAACTAATTAAAAATATAATAATATTTGTTAATATTATTAACAAATTGAAATTATTTTAAAATGTCATGTTGGATTAATATTTTTTTTCAAATTTAGGTGTGAAATTTTCTTACCGAATACCACGCAAGCTTAAATTATTCCTGGAAATTTTCTTTCGGGCACGAATATTTTAGGAAAATTATCCCTCGCCTTCGACTCGGGATAATTTTCAAAATATTCGTGCCCTCAAAAAAATTTCCGAAAATAATTTAAGCTCTTGTGATATTATAAGTGAAAATACATTATGAAGGGCGCTGTTGCCATATTCTGGTATTAGTTGATATTAGCAAAGAATATTATTGTTTGGCTTTAGTTAGTTAGGGATAGTATGTCTATATATTCTGCATTTTTTTATTAATATTCTGTTGTTACACTGCAATAATACTTGTTATTTTGGATGTAAGAAAATGATTTTTAATGTTTTTAAGCAAAGACTGGTTTAATAAATAATAATAACAGTAATAATTTGTTATACCTATTAACAACAAAATTTAAAATGATTTAATATAAATATTTTTTTAAGTAGTAGCAAAATATAAACAATAAATTAGATGTCAAAATTATTTATATTAGATCCTATTTAAAAATAATATAGTCTCTAAATTTTTTGGCAACGTTGGTTTATTAAATAATAATAATTACAGAACTAATTTGTTATATTAACAACAAATTTTAAAATCATGAAATATAAACATTTATTAATTTTCTAAGCATCCAGTGTAATGGAACGAAAATATAAATAAAAAATTAGAAATCAAAATTATTTATATTAGGTGCTTTATATTACTATTTAAAAATTATATTTACTTTTACTGGCATTTACTTTAAAAAATAAATAAAATATTTCTTCGCAAAAAACTACATGTAAGAGAATTAGCATAAACAAAATACAAACATCGTTAACTTTTTTTTTTAAATTGGCACGTGTAAAACTTTAATTTTAACTTTCTCACCCCATAGTTTGAGTTCGATAACCATTTACTTAACCACATTACTTAAATATGATTATTAAGTTCCAACTAATTCATATTATTAAAACATCTAAAATACAAATATGTATTTTTAAAATTAATTGTTGCTTTAAAATTAAACTTCATCTCATCTCTCTTAAAAATTGCTACTTTTCAAAATTTCCCATTAAAAAATAGACCATATACCATATAAAATTAAATAATTGAAAGATCGGACTACGGAAAACCACACAAATTTTCGGAAAAATTTTGACCACCTGCACATGCACACAATCGTCAATAAATAAAATTAAAAAATAACTACTATTTTAGTATTTTAACTATTTTAATAAACGCAAAAATAGCACAGTATTTATACGGCGAAGTTATAAAAATTTGGAAGAACTAATAATGCACTGACGCATACAAAAATCAAACGAATACTAAATTTCATTTATCAAAAGCATTCGATAGTCGTGGCGCAACGATAACCATTTGGTCGCACGGCGAGGTTGTCACATATGCTTTAGTATACAAATGAATGAATGATTTTATTCGAACAAAACCATTCGATAGTTGAAATCATTCATTCATTAACCATTCGACAGTCTAATTTATTCGATAGTTCCCATCGCTAATATTTAGTTTATAAAACAATAAACTTTTGATTTCTCACCACGATTTCTCTTGACGAATGATAATTATTCAAAGGACAAAAAGGCATTCCCCACAAATTTTATTAGTAAAAAAATAATTAGTAAAAAAGTTAAAAGTTTGTTAACTTTTTATATTATTTGAAAATTACTACCACTAATTTTGACGTTCTGAATGCTTACATTCATACTAGAGGAACAAACTTCTACGCTAATTGAAACCACTAATTCATTCCACTAGTTGCGAGGTCCTGAATGAAGCTTAGTTGTTTGTGTGAACTAATAACATGGCATTAGCAGTTACTCCACTTTTCATTTTGGGAGGAGCAGTACAATTTTACAATAATTTTAATAGGACTAGTACTATATTAATAGATGTAATCCTTAGATTTATTCTATTGGTTACTAAATTCTTGGATGCGATTTATGCCAATTTAAATGAAAATTAATAATTCATAATTATAATAGACTCATTTACATGTATTTATATGTACCGGGTGTCCCACTAAGAATAGCTCTCGGCTGTATCTCGGAAAGTATTAGTCGTAGAGCTTGTGGAAAAAAATATTTATGACTAAAGAGAGCATGAGAAATTGCTGGAAATTATTTTCAAGTTTGTAGAGCGGCCGCTAGAGGGTGCAACTGCTATTAAAAATAAGAAAAAGGAGTTTTTACACAATTTTGCTTAGATAACGGATACTATAAATAATAAATTCATAATCTTCAGTAAATTTTGCATGAACCATTTTCTCCTATCTGCCAAAATAAAGTGGTGGGGGAAGGTTAGATTTGTTTATATTTAAATGTTAACTCCAGACTGGTTGATCGAAATCCAATAAGTGGGAGCTCGTTTAAAAGAGGGTTTCTTACTCTATATTGTACCATATAAACAATAAAAATAAGCTTTTGAGCGTAGACGCTAGGTGGCGCTGTCTTACAATTTAACAAACATTACGCGTTTTTTCGAAAAAGTTAAATGCGATAGTATATGTAATTTTAGCTGATACTAAAGAGTAATAAAAATTTAAAAATTCAGCGAAAACCGCCTCTTGATATCTTTTTTCAAACCAAAGTTATTATCAAAATTATAATAAATACGAAAAAATAAGCCCTTAACTACAGTACGTCTGTCCGTTCTATAGCTACGGGGTATCCGTGAGAGGGGAAACGATATTCTCTCGATGTTTTTCGTAAAAAATTAGACGACGCGTCTCATCAATAAAAATTCGACAAATTTGCAAGTAGCCAATAAAATGAGTGGGCGGAGCGATTTGCGGTGACGTACTCGTCAAGTCGACCTATAAAATATATTGTTGTTTATTTAAATGTTTTTGTCCGCATTCCTTTCGTAGACACAGATCCAGCGGACGTACTGTATCCTTAACTTTTCCTTAACCTTATCTTTCTAACACTGTATCCCTTGCCCTCTTGATTATGACCATTCTAATAAAAAATAAGATAGAAAAGATTATTTCATTCAAAAAATCGACAATGTACCAGAATACCATAATACTATGTGTATTAATATCTAATAATTAAGATATCAATGAGAGTGACTAAGAAATGACGCCTCAGTGAATTCATGGTAGGCTTTGGAAAAAAGTAGATTTTAAAGAGATAGTTTAAACTCAAAATATTATTATATCAACAATTTGATAGTCTCAGCAGCGTTTTTTATCTTTTGATTGCTTTTCTTAAAATGCCTTTCTTCAAAAGAGAAAAAACGCTGCTAAGACTATCACAATGTTGATTTAATAACTCTTTGACTTTTATACTATTACGTCAAAAGCATCTTTTTTCCAAAGCCTACCATAACTTCACTGAGGCGTCGTTTCTTATTTACTGTCATTGATATCTTAATTATTAGGTATTAATACATCTGGTATTATCGTATTCTGGTCGATTTTAGAATAAAAATCGATTTTAGAATAAACTAATCGTTTCTATCTTATTTTTTATTAGAATGGTCTTAATCAAGAGGGCTAATCGTGTTAAAAAAATAAGGTAATTAAGGGCTTATTTTTTCGTATTTATTATAATTTTGCTAATATCTTCGGTTTGAAAGAGGATATCAAGATGCGATTTTCGCTGACTTTTTAAACTTTTATTACTCTTTACTATCACCTAAAATTATATATACTATCGCATTTAATTTGTATAAAAAAAACGCGCAATTTTTGTTTAATTGTAAGACAGCGCCTCCTAGCGTCGACATTCAACAGCTTATTATTATTGTTTATACGCTATAATATAGAGTAAGAAACGCTCTTTTAAACGAGCCTCCGTTTGTTAGATTCCATTCATCCACTCCGGAGTTAATAATGTTTAAATAAAAACAGATCTAACCTTCCCCCACCCCTTTATTTTGGCAGATAGTGGAAAATGGTTCTAACAAAAAATATGCAAAATTTTCTAAAGATTGTGAATCTATTATTTATAGTATCCGTTATCTAGTCAAAATTGTGCAAAACTCCTTTTTCTTATTTTTAATAGCAGTTGCGCCCTCTAGCGGCCGCTCTACAAACTTGAAAATAATTTCCAGAAATTTTTCATACTCTCTTTAGTTACGACTAATACTTTCCGAGACACAGCCGAGAGCTCTTCTTAGTGGGACACCTTGTACTGGGAGTTGCTCAGGGTATAGCTTACTACTTAGAGGTGTTCTATATCTCTCTTTAAGTACTTGATAAAGGTATATCTTTTACTCTTTGTTAAATGATTTAAATATTTTATTTTACTAAACGTTTTATTTTTCTTCAGAGATGAGCTAGCACGTGTAAAAGATACACTCTCCGAAGTACAAAGACGCGAAGCACAGTTGCAGTCATTCAAACAGTCCATTGCAAAAATATTGGGTGTAGTTCTGCCAATGCCCGACTACGAACTAGTGTCACGATTACAAAAACTGGTAGATGCCCATCACGACTTCACACTAGTTTCCAGAAGATATGACGATCCTGTTCTGAGATTAACTGCCCGAAGTCCAACTGGAGGTTCCAGGTGTACAAGAACACCAGACAGATCTCGATATGACGATTCTGGATATGTGGATGGTGTAGATTTAGATAATTCTGACGAGGACTTATATAAGAGACAAGGAAGACAACATCTTTGCTGACGTTCATTAAACAGAAGATAAAGTGGCACAATAAATCAGCGATGACTGAGAAATATTACAAAATTATATTTGAAAAGAGGGAACAAAATTTGATTGATGAACGAAACTTCGATGAAAATGATATAACTGAGTTGATAGTAGTTTGGAATAAAACGTTTAGTCACTGAAAAGTCACGTTAGAAAAAAATGGGTTTATTGAATAACATATTGCACAGAGGAATCGGAACATTACGACAGATATACCTAGATAAAATGCATTATATTTTCACTTATTTAAATGTGTAATTTCTTGTTTTGTTTTATAAACTACAAATGAGAGTTATTCTATATACTAGAACAGTATAAACAGCTAAATTATAAGACTTGTGTTATTTACTTACTAAAGATATAATAAAGATACTCCATTTTGTATATAGTTGTTTAAATGAGTTCAGCAAATATTTTATTTGTTTTCTTTTTCACTTTTACTTTCTACACTTATGAGCGGTAAATTATAGTGACTTGGTCAAGTTAATATACTGATGTTATATATAGTTAATATACTGAGTGAGAAAAAGGGAGAACGCCTATATAGATTCATAAGATTTTAATAATTTTTGGTGTACATGATAGCAAAATAAAAACACTAAATCACCACAATACACCAAAACACTTTTACTTTTACACTGGACGCGCGTTTCGCTAACCATATAGCATCATCAGCAGATGATTATAAACAATTGTTTGTTTATAATCATCGTATGTAACAATTGTTTATAATCATCTGCTGATGATGCTAACATGGTTAGCGAAACGCGCGTCCAGTGTAAAAGTAAAAGTGTTTTGGTGTATTGTGGTGATTTAGTGTTTTTATTTTGCTGTGTAACACCAAAGGTTCCAACCCTTAACTGTAATAATAATGGGGGGGGGGTTAAATGAAAAATAATTTTGAAAAACACATTTTTTGAATAAAACGTTTACATATTTCTATCAATAAATTTTATAGACTTGGTTATCAAACCGTGTTTGGTTTGGTTTGGTTTACTTTACCTACAAATTCAAAAAAAAATAATAAAAATTAACACATTTTTTGAACACAATAAAATAATATTAACTAAACAAAACTAGAAAACATCCTTTTTACTGCATCACAAGCAAATAAAAATTAATACCTAGCCAAGATACGTAGTAGAAAATTCAGGATTTCTTGGGGGGGGGGGTGCCCAGCGGTACCTGGGCGGGGGGCCGGCTCCTCCGGTCACCCCTATAGTTACGCCAATGAGTTCTATTCAGAGTTGCCACCTTCTGTGTTTAAAAAATCATTCTTTTTTCTTAAATGTAAAATACCATATGATCAACAAAAAAACGGCGTCAGCGATATCTATGAAATGAAGATCGCTGTCATTTTACATATAAATTTATACGGGAAATGTAATCGATCGTCATTTCCTAGCCAACTGGATGCGGTTTTTTTCGATCACACGGTATTATGTGCCCATCAGATTTGAAACAAGATATGATGCTTTTTTGCGTTGACTATGTTTAGCTACGTGGAAATAATATTCTCACGTATGATGTTAAAGAAGACAAATACTAAAAATAGATGTTCAGTTAAGGTCATTAGAATGGAACTTCAAATCTCATTTATTTTTAATATGATCTGAATAAAACACTAATTCACCACAATTCACCAAAACACTATACTTTTAACACTAGACGCGCGTTTCGCTAACCATGCTGAATTTGAAGCAACCATCAGTTTTCATCATCTGCTGATAATGCAATAACACTAGAAATGTCTGTCTACTTCAATATCATACGTGAGAATATTATTTCCACGTACCTAAACATTAGAAGATGGCACACTTAATATACAAGTAAAACCTTAAACTACGAAGGCATAATATTTACTCTAGTTTTACTTTATTTTTTTATCTGTAATTTTTATATCTTTTTCACAAATTTCGTTTACGTAAGTTTTTATTTTCGAATATTCATTAAAAAGGGTATCAATATCTACTTTTTTTAATTCTAAAATATTTCTACGTTTTAAATTAATTTGTGGAAAAGAACTGTAAATTCAAGAAAGTAATATAAATATATTTTTTAATAATAATTTTTACAATTTTATGGTTTAAAAAAAATTACCTGGCTAAAGTAATAAAAATCGGGACATTAGGGCGTTGCGTGGGGACGCGGTATTTTTCGATCAAAAACGGAATTGTCCCGACCAAATCGGGACGAGTGGCAACCCTGGTTCTATTGGACAACTTAATTGAAAATCTGAGTCTAGTGTGTTGTATAGGTTGTATCTCAATGAGACGCTTGGGCATATTTTTGATAAGGCGGTCAATAAGTCCGGTCCTCTTGGTATACCATTCCAGGCTGCTTCAACTTCATTGAATTAGGGCTGATGTATGAGAAGGCTATTCTAAATTTGACAGCTTTTGGCTCATCACGTTCCAGACATGTTCAATGGGAGATAGATCCATTAGTTATTATTACATAAGTTCATTGGTGACCATTGGTGGCCATTATAAACAGTTAATGTGGTACTGAAAGAATAAAAGCGAATGATGCTCGAGTCACATGTCATCTTGCATTATCTTGCTTTACTTTAGTTAAACTTTCGATACTATTCATCATGCAACATTGTTATTGATATTGAGATCTTTGGTGTCTCTAATGAGTCTGTTGATTTGGATAAGTTATATTTATGCAACCGTACTCAAAAAGTGAAATTAAATGGTGAAACGTCTCATACAAGGATACTTTCCAGGATACTTCCCATTCCGATACAAGTGATAAAAACAGTCAACCATTAGATCAGTTGAAAAAAGGCCAGTCTGCAGGAATAAAAACAAGAGCTCAAACAAAGATTGACATTACCAATATACAAGGTGAAGCACAAAATATGGAAAATTTTCAAAATAAGATTACTACTGGAAATGAAGAAATATGTATAAACAATTCGGACATTTTCAAACCAAGAACATCAATAATGCGTTCACCACCAGTTCAATCAGTAGACAACTTGAAAATATTTGAAAATGAATTATGTTATCAAGAAAGAACAAGTACAAATTCAAGTCCTGGAAGAATAGAAAAAAACTTATTGAGAAAGCAACTATACAGCCAACCAGATGACCTTGTATACGTACATAATAAAAACGTAGAAGACAACCAAGAAAATATAGATTCGATTGATACTATATTTGAATCTTTGGAATCAATTGAAAATATTTTAAATAATACAAGTTCTGTGGATTGTGTCAAGGCATGCTCTTTTCATAACCAAAAAGCGAGGAGTGCGTTTTTTACAGTCTACAAACATCTCACAAAAGTGGCATATAGAATAGGGTTTTTCGAAAATAAAGAAAGAGAATTAAAACAACAGCAGAACCTCCAAATCGGTAAAGCAAGCAACGAGTATCAACCCAAAACTTGCTTAATTGAAAACAAAAAACCTTCAGAAAGGCCATAAATATTTAAAAAAACTTATAGTGAAATTGCACAGCTAAACAGTGAAGATAAAAATATAAAAGAAAACAAAATACCAGAATGGAAAACACCTAAAAAGGAAGATAGACACAATATTCTGATCAAAATGAAAGATGAACCGAGTTCAAAAAGGGTAGTTAAGGAAATTCAACAAAGTTTAATGAAGAATAATATTCATCAGCAGATTAAGAATGTCAAACAATTAGAGAATGGTAGTGTAATCATAGAATGCCACAATATTGAACAAGAAAATGTATTAAGAGACACACTGAAAAAGAACGAGCAATTCCAACTAAGAGAAAAACAGACTGTTAATCCTATGATAATGATATGTGGTATAAGCCTAGGATATAACCCTAAAGATTTTATCTATGAACTGGTAGAACAAAACCCAGATCTAAAGTGCAAATTTGGAGAAAAGGTACAAGACTCTATAAAATTTGTTACCAAGCGCAAATGTAGGAATGACAGAAAAGAAAACTGGGTGTTACAAGTGTCCCCAAAACTGTTCAAGTGGTTTATGAGAAGTGACAATTTTAGTTTTGACTTACTCAAAGCACAGGAATATTATAATGTTGCAGTGTGTTTTAAATGGCCATGTCGCAAAACACTGTACAGGAAAAACGTGCTGCTATAAATGTGGAGAAAACCACCTTGGAAACAGTTGTACGGCTGAAAGAACATGGAATTGCCCAAATTGTAGTAGACTTACATACAAAGAAAATGCTAATAGTGCTTTGGATGAAAAATGCCCAGCGTATCAACAGCAAGTTAGAAGATATAAAGCAATCATAAAATATGACACTGACGATGACAAGATTTTTTTAGAACAGTGAACCATGAAAAAGAAAATATTCAGTCAATAGGTAATTCTATAGATAAAGTAAATTATAGTGGGATGTACATAATGCACCAAAATATACAATGTCTCAGGAATAAAACATTAGAACTGGAAGTGCTATTAAATACAATGACAATTAAACCTAAAGTGTTGTTAATTAGTGAGCATTGGTTGTGCAAGGAGGAAATTACGTTTGTAAGAATTAATGGATATTCTTTAGTGTCATTTTAGTCGATGGGGCATGGTTGCGTATGTGTCTACTGCGCAGAGAACATAAAATTTACTGAAGTAAAATTTATTGTTGATAGTAGCATTGAGGGTACAGTGGAGTATGCCTGCGCTGTAAACAAAAAAAACAAAATTATTGTAGTGTGTGTATATAGAAGAGGACTGAGTTGTTTTCAAGAATTTTTGGTAAGCTTTGAGCAAATTTTAAAACACTTATGTACATTTTTTTTTAATTATAAATTAGTGATAGGAGGTGACTTTAATGTTAATCTGCTTGCCAATGATAATCAGTCAATAAGTTTTTTGGATCTAGTAAATAGTTTTAATTTAAGTCAGTGTATCTTTCAACCAACTAGAGTGGGAAAGTATTCTTCTACACTAATTGATAATTTTTTTTACAATAACGACAAAGATTTTCAGGAGTTTGTTGTTGATACAGCGGTATCTGATCATCATGGTTAAATTCTAGTAATTGAGAGATATTTACAACCAGATAATAAAATAAGCTTTCAAGTTAAAAGAATATATTCCAAATCAAAACTAAATCATTTTTATGATGAGCTCTCACAGACCACTTGGGTGTCTCAGCCTATACAGCTTTCTTTCGGGAATTTACGATTCCATTTAATCAAATATTTGTAAAGAAAAAAGTTAATGTTTCTAATAAGAGGCATAATAATTGGATTACATCTGGTATTAAAATATTATGTAAAACTAAAAAGAAATTATATGCAAAACAAATTAACGGACAAATATCAGAAGAATATTATAAAAAATATTGTAAAATTTTTAAAGAGGTTATTGTTAAGGCAAAGAGCATATTCAATAAAACTTTTATTTTGAATGCCCATAACAAGACCAAGGCAACTTGGAAGTTAGTTAAAAGTATAACACAGCAGAAATATAAATCACCTAGTGTATTCGCAAATTTTTCGGAAAAATATAAAGAAGACCTTATCTTAAATAAACGAATATTTTGTTTCTTCCTCTCATACAGTATTAAATACTAACAAAACAGAATTTCAGATTAAAATAAATAACAATTCTTTATTCTTACTTCCTACAAATCCAACAGAAATTCAAAAAACTATCCTCAGCTTAAATAATAAAACATCGGTTGGTGATGATGAAATACCGATTAAAGTTCTAAAAAAAGTATCAAATTTTATTTCAACACCTATAGCATATGTGATAAATCTTTGTTTTACTACCGGATATTTTCCTGATGTGTTAAAGAATGCCCATGTCAGGGCTCTACACAAAAAGGAAAAAGACCATGAGGGAAACTACAGACCAATATCCTTGCTCTCAAATGTAAGTAAAATTTTTGAAAAAATCATATCTAGCAGGTTTATTGAATTCTTTGAGCAACACTCACTAATCTCGGACAGACAGAATGGCTTTAGAAAGGGCAAGTCTACGATACGCGCAATTTACCAAGCTTTAGAAAAAATATTAAATTCATTAAATAATAACAAGACTTTAGCAATGTGCATTGACCTTTCTAAAGCTTTTGATAGAGTGAACCATCAAATTCTACGCAAAAAGTTGGAAATCTACGGTGTTAGGGGGGTGACTTTGGATTTGATTAGAAGTTATTTAGAAGGTAGAACTTAGCAAGTAATAAAATATAACGACCATGGTACATTATGGAGGTCAAAAAAACTTTTTGTAAGTCATGGAGTTCCACAAGGCTCTATTCTCGGTCCTTTTTTATATATAGTATATACTAAAGAACACCCACTGGTATCCTCTGAATATATTACACTTTATGCCGATGATGCAAACATCGTTTTTAGTGAGAAAGATAATTATGAACTGGAGTTAAAGGCTGTTAATACTTTGGAAACCCTAAATGATTACTTTTTGGCTAATGACCTTTTACTGAATGTTTCAAAAACACAGCTATTATTATTCGGAAACAGAACAAGGCAGATTATTATATTAAATTGCTCTATAATGACAACGAAAGTGTTTCTGCCGAAAATGTATCACTTCTGGGAATTAATGTAGATAGAAGGTTAGATTGGAAATATCACATAGCATGTGTTATTTCTAATATAGCTCGTTTTAGTTATGCAATGAAAATTATTTCTGAAAATATATCTGAAGACGTTGCAATAACAGCATATTATGCCTACATAAACTCTGTAATACGCTATGGCTTGATCTTCTGGGGGAACTCATCAGATGTTTATAGGATAATGATTGTACAGAAGCGCTGTATTCGAAACATTTTCAAATTAAGTTATCGTGAAAGTTGTCGCAAATTTTTCATAGAAAGGAAAATACTAACAATAATCTCTATGTATATTCTGGATTCGGTAGTATTTCTTTACGGCAATAAAAGTCTCTTTAAAGAACCAGAGTTAAAACATCAATACTCTACTAGAAATAGAGATATGTTACAAACCGACAAGAGCAACTACACGTATGTACAGAAGAATGTGAAGCACAGCATTATAAAGATATATAATGCTTTCCCACTCTCAGTTACTGATTTACCTAGACCAAGATTACTGTTAACTCTAAAAAATTATCTATTAGTCAAGGCATTTTATACGCTAGATGAATTCTATGCAGACAAGGGTAAGCTGTTAATATAGCATTTAATATTATTTGTAGTAGGTATTATTGTGTTTTCAATTTATTTTCTTGTTAAAATTATATAAATATTGAAACTAGTAATACAGTATAAAGACTCTTCAGAAAAGTATTTTAGGAATCATGTTTATATTAGGATACATTTAGTAGTATTTGAGTGTTTTAGTATCTTGAGTTTTTTGTTAACATGTTCCACACCCATCTTAGGTCAATTTATGTAATTGTATTACTTGGAACTAATAAAGATTTATCTATCTATCTATCTATCTATCTACATAGTTGTTCTTGTTTTTCTGTCATTCGGTATTATATGAAATATAGATTTGACGGCGCCAGTGGATAAATAAACCTATCTGAAAGTAAGTTAGTGTCACTTTTTTACATCCTCAAAAGTAATCCATAGAGAAAATCAATCGACAGCTTTCGGTCAAATCATTCTGAATCAACCAAATTTGGTGAAAGTATTATCTTTACTTTTGTGTAGGGCTTATTTTTCGAAATACTTAGTCTTGGTATTTCACAACTAAAGAAGCAAATACTTAATAAATGAAGAACTTGTGTGGAGCTGGATTCCATTTGGATTCTAATTCAGTGGTATTTTCCAAAAAATATATATTACTCTATTTTAATTTCTGTGGTGAAATACTTTTCAAAACACTGGATAAAACTTTATCTAAACTATCTATGAGTAGCCTCAATAGTCACCATATTTAAGTTATGTTATATTGAGCAATAACCCAAGTAGCATTTGGACGTTATCTAACGTCGGGTATACGTCGCGTCCAATAAACTCGACGTCGGGTACCAACGTCGGTTCGACCGCCTGACGACCCTTATTTGCACCTAAATGGGGAATACAGATTCGGGTCGCCTCGATGTCAGTATCTGACCTAATAGGGAATGTAATTCTACCAATTACCAACGTCATATTACGTTGGATTTTAGTTACTTAAAATTCGTCGCTAAGCACTTACGTTACGTTTGGTTTCATATTCGCTACCAAGAATACATAAAAACCTAACCAAACTACCTAATTACAAATGGATTCATAATCACTCCTCGAATATAACTATAAGTGCCTACCTAATTTCATATTATAATAATTCTGAATCACTAATCCAGACATCAGTTTTGTCAACGGAAGTCACTTTTTTGATATATCTGATTAAAATACTCCGGAAAACAACGAGCGCCTTCAAAATTAAGTAGATTTATGAAATAAAAATATCTATAAAAAAGTAACTCGCAAAATATTTTTTTTATTTTCTAGCTGGTTTAATCATAAAACTGTACTGTGGTTCCCCCCTAACTCAACCTTATCAATATTATTCTACTAGAAATCAGAATGTGAATATAAATTTTAAAAACAAAAAACGATTTTAAAATGGCTGACAATCGGATACCTGTTAAAAATGGCGGATTCCTGTGTCCGACTTAATATGAACTACCAATATACCAATTCCGACCGGGTCTCCAACATTAGACGTCTCACACGACCGAAGTCATCAAACCGGACGACCGGCAATCGTATTATGACGTATATAATTCCAACGTACGCCACGTAACCTCACTTTGCGTATCAGTGATTTGTGAATTTGTGCAACTATATTTTACTTTTTGTTTGCTCCTTAAAAAAATGGGCAGCCATTTTTTTAAGATAGTATATATACAAAATTTAAATGAATTGGAACCAGTACCTCACATGTGGGAGGAGGATGGGGTCTGCTGGTTTCCTAAGCTAAAAAATGAAATTAAGATGCACCAGTGTAATGCAGCATCTTTTCCGGATAAAAAGCATTCGTGGGTGGAGGCAAGACATCACTACTAGTATTATTATTTTATTTATTAGCTTTCTGTAAAATGTAGATGAATGTCTAAATGCCTTTTTAGTGTTTTTTAGGCATAATAAAAAATTAAGTTTGTTTACAAAAACTTTTTATTAGGTTATGTTCATGATGTTCATTAGGCCGCAAATGCTACTTAATGGGTTGTATTTATGGACGTAAACAGAGATACGTAAATTAGGTTATAAATATGAACATAAAATACAACAAGATATAATTGGACGTTACTTTAGGGAGTATCAGTGGGACGTATCCTATTCGGACAACGGGTAGACGTCGGGCTAGTTCAAGTATATGTACGTCGTGCAAGCCAACGTGGGAACAACGTTGGGAAATTAATAAAAATGGTACGTTGTTATTTTGTACGTCGACAGATCGTTGGATTTACCGACTCGGATCCAACGACGTCGCTTTTAATAGGAAAGCGACGTCACCGGTCGTATCACCAGCACCCTACCTAAATTTGCACAAAGTCTGACGTCGCTTCAGGTCAGATTTAGTTCGAAGTCAGATAGATGCTACTTGGGAACATTCTTACATGTAGAAAAATATTGAGAATTTTCAGTCAAAAGCAGGGGTGGAACTAAGAGACGAAAATTGAAAATTCCAAAATCATTTAATGTTATTACATCTTATGAACTGGCCTACTACATCGAGAAACATGATAAATCTTCATAAATTGTATATTTGGGATTGGAAAAATGTGATCGGGATAATAAAAACAGTAATTACAGTGAAATCTTGAGATGCTATTATTTGATTTATTTCACAACATATTTTGCTTATTATTTAATTAGATCTATCATTTAAATTACATTAAATCATTACTTATAACATTTGAATCAGAATGACTAATTTATATAGAGTTATAATTACAAATATTTGACACCGTTTATATGATTAACATTTAATCATTTTTTAATTACATATCTAGTAGAGGTCTAAATATTATAAACAATCGGGAAAGAGATTAAAAGTTAAATAAATTATTTATGTAAACGGTTAAATATTTATAGGAAAATATAGCAAAAAGGTTATAAAAATTTGTCGAACAAATCACTAATACATTATCACGATAAAATATAGAAGAGCTATATAATAAATTAAACTAGATTTTGGTAATCCTACCTATAAATATGTCTATATAAAAAAAACTAATATTTATTGAAAATCAAAAGACCACGTTTCTACAAATAACCTTTCTGCAATATTTAATATTTAGCCCAAAATAAAACTAACAAATAATTGGGGCAGATAAAACCAAAAATGAGCTTTTCAAAATATTATGAAGACTGATAGTGCAGAAGTTTTGAATAAACCATTAAATAATTAATCCAGGTTTCTGCATTCAAATTGTTTGGTAAACAAAATAATTATTAAAATAACGGTTTAGAAAGTATTCTTATTCTGCTAAGCTGCGTTTTCCCCAGAGTCCTTTCAGGTTGTTCCATGCTGGCTCCCGTTTACCCCAAGATCCTAAAAGAGATAAATTTTTGCTCAGTTTAATAGTAGTAAAAGTATATAGAAATTAGTGTTCTTTGATTTGGTGTTATATTTGTGTAAGAACTCTATTTTTCTATGCTACGTTTTCTTTATCTGACGTAATAATAAACAGACATTTCAAAAGCCGGAACGCAATGGAATTTCGAATGTAAACAAAAACAAGCCCAAAATTCATGTACCTGCACTTTTCAAAAAGGTTTCAAATAACACGCAATACAGTATTGCCGTCTAAAACAGTATTAGACAGCGTCAGAGAAAGAAGTGGTACGCGCTTATTAAATTAAAACTATTAAAGTTTTTGAGGTTTAATTAAGGTTTTGTGGTAGTTCTGAGTTCCATTGCAGTGCCGAATAAGAAATTTAATTAAGGTGAGTTTATTTTATCTCACTGAGCAACTAGTTGGTTACTGTTTATTGTTTTTATTGTGATATATTATATTTCTGAATCTTAGGTATATTTTAATATATTTGATTGAATATTAAGAAAAGATGATTTGCAGATGATAATATTGAAGTATTTCTTTACAGTGATTTATTTATATTTTGTCTAAGTGACTTTAATTGAAGATAAGTATATATTTCTGTATTTGTATTATCAAATTGATATTGAATGAATTATGTTTAGCTTTATTATTTTCTACAGTTAGCCTTTGTGGCGTAATGACCCTGTGTAGCGTAGTTAGCCTTGAAGAGTAGTTCGTCCTGTAGCGTAATTAGCCTTGACAAGTAGTTAGTCCCGTAGCGTAATTAGACTTAAAGAGTAGTTAGCCCCGTAGTGTAGTTTGACTATTAACTTGTGCATTTTTTTAGCCTGTGTGGCACTTTGATAGCCTGTGTGGCATTTTTTTTGCCTGTGTGGCAGTTTGATAGCCTGTGTGGCACTTTGATAGCCTGTGGGGCATTTTTTAGCTTGTGTGGCATTTTGATAGCCTGTGTGGCATTTTTTAGCCTGTGTGGCATTTTGATAGCCTGTGTGGCACTTTGATAGCCTGTATGGCATTTTTTAGCCTGTGTGGCACTTTGATAGCCTGTGTGGCATTTTTTTAGCCTGTGTGGCATTTTGATAAATGTTTTTTTTAATAGTCTGGGTGACTAGCCTGTGTGGCATTTTATTATTTTATTTAAACTTGTATTTTTAAGTTGGACTATTGATAAATCATTCAAGTACCTGTTTAATTTTAAATTCACTTTATTTTAATAATAACTGGTAACATTGTTGCTCACACCATGTTTTTTTCTTTAATTGCAGGTAGGTCATCTCGGTAGCAAGGTCATACAAGACTTTTGTTGCTATACAACATTTGTCCATTTGCAGCGCCCAGATCAAAGTTGGCTATTACCATTAGTAACGTACCATCTATTAGTATTATTTTTATTTTGTATTATTAGTTGTATTTTATTATACAACATTTACACCCTTTAAATTTGTTTTATGGTTTTTATTTTTAATTTGAGTTGACCGCTTGAAAAAAAAATTTGGCCCGTACATTTGGTATGTTAGTACATATAAGCGATATCAATTAAACTTTTAGTTACGTAATCGAGGGCGTGATTTTTAAATTCGTTGTTGCCAACCATAGACATATTCGGCGCAGGGCTAACTAACTGGAATTTAAATTTTCCGCTGGGGATTCAGGTGGTAGCTCTGATGTCACTTGTCAAGCATTCGTTTTGGCACTTTAGTTTTGTATTACGAGTTTTTGGTTTAAGTGAATTGTGTTGTGATACTTTAAGCTTAAAAATGTTTATTAGCAGACCTTGCAGTCGAACATTGTTCTTTTTAGAACCTCTTTTAGTGCAAAGTGTACAAGATAGCCTAATAGCCGTTGCGACAAATTCATCGCAAACTTATTAGAATATTTTGAATGGGAAAAGTAGTAATGACTCTTTATATCCCTATGCTGTTAAGGAGGAATGGAATCAAACCAAACCAAACCTTAATCACGTGACTAAAATTTAGTTGTTATGAACTATATATGTAATGTGTTTTGGTTTTTAAATGGTACCCTAAGTAATTTTTTACTTTATTTTAATGAAAATACTATTCTGAACACCCCATAACTATAGAATGTGTTTAAACCGCTAATTTTTAATCAAGGAGCCTTGGAATAACTAGCTTTGATTGTCTAATTTCTTTTCCTGGCCGGTTAAAAGCTGTCCAAATCGTATTTTTAATCATAACTCAATTTTTTCAAATGGAAAGGTGGCTCATTAGCATATTATTTGCAAAATAGCATTTTTTACGAATATTGATTTAATAATAATGTTTTTGGTATTTGGTATTTAAGTTGTCATTTCCAGTAAAACGGGAAGTGAATTGAATACGTCAATCAATCCTGATTTATATCATATACTAACATACATACGGAATGTCGATGAAACTGTTATCTTGTAAAATTATTATACAGGGTATTGTATTGTATTGACTAAGAGTGGGTCCCATGGGGACCCTCCACTGAGGCCGCGAGGGCCTATTATTATACAGGGTGGTCCGAACTGTATTCTGGAAACTCCATTGACGTTACTTCAGAAATTATTTGGAAAAAATCGAAATAAAAAGAAACTTCTACACCCTGTATCTCCGAAACTAAGCATTTTAGGACATACATCGATACGAACTTTTTTACTTATTTTGATCTGTAGAATATGCTGCTGAAGTTTCCGGAATGCAGTTCGGACCACCCTGTATATGACATTAAATATGTAAATAAGTTATTAGTGTAAAGTTCATACAAAATAAACTTTTAGTCACGTGATTAAGCTTGACAGGCACAGCGTTGGCCGGTTTTACATATTTTCTTTTAAATCGAAATATTTTGGTTAGGAATTTAAAAAATTGTGCCCTCGACTACGTAACTAAAAGTTTAATTGATATAAAATATATCTATCTGTATCTGTACATTGTACAAGTATGTGATCCGGTTATTTTTATACAGGATGTTTCAAAAAACATGTGCCATCTCTCGTGTGGAGATTCCTCACGTAAAAATAAGATTTATTTTTCAAATCAACATAGGTCCGATTCTGCTTTATTTCATAGCTACAAATTGTTAAAATCTTAGTATCTTTTCGATTTACTATAATTTTCTTCCAAATACTTTTAGCGTTTTTGCGTTTGGAATGAAATCTTGAGGATAAAAGTTACTATAAATGCGACATATTTAAAGCTAAAAAAGTGTTGACATATTCACCATGAACGTGCATATGGGTTATCACTGGAATATTTTTCTAAAAAAGCATGTACGCCACTGACTTTTCTTTTCTTGTTAGCAAAATAGTGTAAGCTGTTTAATGCCGATTAAAAGTTGTATCTTAATATTTGTCGATTTCGGATGAGAAAAACGCAATTTTATTAATTTGCCTTGATTCAAGTCTAATAGCAACCCTTAAAAAAATTTAACATCGTTAATTTGAAAAAGTTTTAAATAACTACTCATTGATTCCCCATCAAAAAATACGAAAAAAGTTCCTGTCAACATGGGTATGGAAATGTATAGTTTTAGAGTTACAGGATGTTAAAACTTTGTAAAATTAGTTTTTTTGTAATTTTCCTAAATACTATTATTTTTCTATTTGAAATTGCTGTAGGCTGGACTAATAGTAATAATATTTAATAATAAATTAGGTAAAATATATAATTTATTAATTTAATTTTATTAATTATTGTGATTAATAAAATTGCGTTAATGTCATAAAGGAGACCGAATTCGACAAACTATCGAGAGATAACTTTTAATTAGCATTAAACGGTCTACACAATTTTGATATCAAAAGAAAAAAAAGTAAGGGGCGCACGTTTTTTTTTTGAAAAATATTCCAGTGATAACCCATATGCACGTCCCTGATGAGTTGATCGACACTTTGCATTAAAATATGTAGCATTTATAGTAACTTTTACCTATAAAATTTCATTCAAAATGCTAAAAGTACTTGGAAGAAAATTATAATAAATCAAAAAAATATTAAGACTTTAACACCCTGTAGCTACCAAACAAAGCAGAATGGGACCTATATTGATATGAAAATTATTTTTATGTGAGGAATCTCCCAACGAGAGATGGCACCTTTTTCTTTTTGAAACACCCTGTATATTTTTGCGGGATTAACGCCATATGCATGGCCTTGCCAAGATTATGACACACGTAGAATCGGACTAATATAAAATGCCAAATCTAATCATTCGTCATGTTATGTGTAATGGGAAACCGAAAATTTACCTAGTCAAACAGCAAAATATCGATATCTTTTAGTAATATACAGCTACTTGCCATTGCACATAGCTGATGCCTCGGCTAATGATTATTTGCCTAAACGAGCTTTATTAAATTAGATTTATTAAATGTAATCGAGACATTCTGCAAAATTTTCACATTAAAGACCACTTAAATTTAAGAAGTTTTATTTTATAATTGAGCTTCTGTTAAATATAACTCTAATATCAAAAAGTACCTTGGCGCATAGTTCAAAGGAAGTTTTAAAGGCATATAATAATTCCAATTTAAAATTAGTGAATAAAATTGTTCCAGCATTTCGCAATGTAAAGTTTGACATTCTTCCTAACTCTTTCGCCTTTATCCGCCCGCTACGTTGCTCAACTTATCCATAAGTTGATTAGTTTAGGAATTTCGTTTTTTTTACCTTGATACACAAAATACCTGAACAAAACTTGCCTTGCTGAAATATAATGGAAAATTTACAAGTGGAAACTATTCATTAGGAAAATGTTTGAAGTAAAATGAAGTATTTTTTAAGTAATTTGAAATAATTAAAAAAACTTTATTAAGTGATTAAAATTCTTTTTAAAGTGATTTTTTAAGTCAAGAAAATACCAAAAACAATAATATGGAAACAATAAATAGGTATGATGAAAACAATAATATAAAATTATTATATGTTATCTTAGCTTAATAAAAATAAGTACCTTAATAGTACAGGGTGAGTGAACGATAGAGTAAGTCCATTATCTCATTTGTTTCGAGATTTACAAAAAATGTTAAATATAAAAGTTATAGGGAAGATAAGTGGCAGATATGACATTTTTTTTTAAATGCAACACCCTATTTTTTATTTTACTTTTAGATTCTGCATAGCAATGCAGAATCTAAAAGTAATGCAGAATTCTGCAATTCTAGCAAGTTCTATAACTTTTTTAATGTTATACAGGGTGTTTCAAAACAAATACGAAAAACTTCAGGGGTATATCGCGGTACAAAGATGGCGGAAAAATAATGTTCTTATTTTTTATCTTGAAAACGAAAAGAGATAGACTAATGAAATTTTATGGAAGCATTACTGTTATGAAAACACACTTTCTAGTAATTTTTTCACTTTTTGAAAATGAGTGGAAGGGGTTGAAATAAACTACCCCTATCATTCTTGTTAACGAAATTTAAAGAAAAATCTTATCAAGCACATGCAAAAAAATTAATTTGGATAGTTTAGTTTGTTTAGAAACTTTTTTATCTCTTTTATTTTTTTTATAAAACTCACCAATTTGAAATTAAAAAATAAAATGTACAGCATTACATGTCAGGACTAAAAATATTTTTAGATTAAGAATCTAGTGATAATAATGATAATAATAATAATCTAGATAATAACGTATTGCAGTAGGGTAATGTCAAATAAAACAATATTAGAAACATCCTAAAAAGTGACAGCGGCCGACTAGATTTTTTCCTAAAAAATTACAGCTGCCCACTAGATTCTTTATCTAAAAATGTTTTTGTCCTGACATGTAATGCTTTACATTTTATTTTTTAATTTCAAATCGGTGAGTTTTATCAAAAAAAACACAAGAGATAAAAAGTTTCTAAATAAACTAAACTATCAAAATTAATTTTTTTTTGCATGTGTTTGATAAGATTTTTCTTTGAATTTCATTAACAAGAATGATAGGGGTAGTTTATTTCAACCCCTTCCACTCATTTTAAAAAAGTGAAAAAATTACCAGAAAGTGTGTTTTCATAACAGTAATGCTTCCGTAAAATTTCATTACTCTATCTCTTTTCGTTTTCAAGATAAAAAATAAAAACATTATTTTTCCACCATCTTTGTACCGCGATATCTCCCTAATGGTTGACTTTTGACCCAACGTTTATAAAGCAAACTACCCTTTATTTTGAACATGCAATCACCCCCTGAAGTTTTTCGCATTTGTTTTGAAACACCCTGTATACCTAAAATTAATAGTTTTTGTAATATTTGAATTTCTGTAAACAAATGTTAGATTTCAGTGTTGTAAAAAATTGTCAATGATGCCATTGTTTATGAAGTTAGACTACTAAAATTTCGTAGGAGAGATTTATAGAGATGAAGAAAAGATATAATATAAAGATATTTTAGATAGATGCTACAGGGTGTTCAAAATATATTTATAAATTCCAACTAATTAAAATTAAAAATCTCAAATTTTTTAAATGACACATTCTTGAGAGATTTTACAAAACTCTTCAATTTTTATCAAGTATGTTATATACCTATTTTTAATAGTCCGATATTTATTTCAATATTTTCTATTTTTACCAATATTTTTAATGCAATTACGCTATGACATCATAGTTGAGATGATAAAAAGTAATAATTATCAAAATCTAATATGTCTGTTAAGCATGTTAAGAACAAAAGTTTTTTTAAGTTTAGTTTAATTTGTTGTAATAAGTATAGATGATAGAGACAATAGTTACGGATTTTTTTTTCATGAAAATAAATAATTAGTCAATGTGACTGATATCCACGAATAAGCCAAGAGAAAATATTTTTTGGTTCAGTACTATACTAAGGGCTGGCAAAGGATAGTCTTGTGTCGAGATTTCTGTATGTAAGAAGAGCACAATAGGTTTATAATGTATCGAACAAAGAGAGGACAGTAAACACGTTGCCAAACGTATGAAATAAACCGAGAAACTGCGCAAATCCTTAAGAGACGTGGAAGGGGATACAGAAGATTTGTCAGAAGTGTCTAGCCCTAGCAGTCAACTATTAAGCTTGACCAATCATGTTGGTTAGCGTGGTTATTTGGAGTGTGTTAATTCATTTGTGTTTGTCAATAACTCTAACGTGATTGGTCGGGCTTAATAGTTGCCTGCTAGGGCTAGACACAAGTGATTTGTCGCAGTTGACCGGTTGACCCAATCATACCTTTGTCAGTACTTAAAGTTCTAGGGAAAGGTGTACGTCATGCGTTCAGCTTCACGATTTAATTACGTCTCGTGATACTTAATTTGTTTTTTATTAACTAGTCGTTGTAATTTTCCCTATAGCTTGAATTTTTTTAAGTGCAAGCTAGAAACACTTTTTGGTAAAAATAAGTGGAATTGAGTGGGTGTTCGATAGTGGTCGCGCTATTAGAACTCTGAATTCAAAAATCGATATCTCAAAATCTATTAGAAATAATAGATTGTTGTTTTTTCAAGAACTTTGTTAATATTTTGTTAATATTATATTTTTATTCTTTTGTTAATATCTTTATCAATAAAAAAATACACGATTGCTGAAAATTGCTATGTTCTAAAAGTAAATGGATGGATTGTTTACAATTTTTGAATAGAAAAAACAACCTTATCGAATTTTTCTTATGTAAACATATTGTAAAATATCCGATCTTGAAAATAAAAAAAGTTTTAATATCTAAAGTGGTTGTTGAGTTATTGTGTTAAAAAGTTGAGTTTTTAAATTATCGCGATTACTGACGTTTTTGTTAGAAAAAAATGACACCCTAACGATATCCTTATAATTCCATTTCAGATACTCAGAAACATGTCTAATGATTTTATCTAGTTGAAAAGAAAGTCTTTTAAAAATAAGCGGTTTTCGATCGTGATTTTGCTTTACTTGATAGGGGAAAGGCGTACCGGCAACGCCGCAACAGCACACCGTCGCATTTCTCTCACTCTGACTTAATAAGATCCCTATGCGATTTACTTCCACACATGTAAATGCCGACCCAAAAGTAACAGTTGCTAGCACGGTATATTATAAAGTACATTGCTAAGTACTATAGGAATAGATGTAGATTATCTAGAGAACATTGTTAAGTGTGTAATGGGACGGGTTCGCGCTAGTAGAAATATTGGCTTTACGAAATGAATTATAAATCAGAATTGCTACGAGAAAAAAAAATTATGTTGAAGAAAATTCCCATATCAGTAGTCGTTAACAACTAGATAATCTAGTATTACCCTAATTTAGGGCTATTTGCCCCAAGGGAATATTCAAATGTCATCTTTCATAATATAGAAATACGCTAAGAACTTCACGACTGTGAAGTTAGTTTACTTGAGTAAGATTAATTAATTTAAACTAATAATAACAATTGTAACTAATTACTAAACTACTTATTCATGATTATTAATAAATATTTTTATTTTGTCATGATAACTATGATGTTTTAGCATAAATGATTAAAAAAGAGTATAAATTGAAAAATTCGCTATTTTTGGGGAGATATATCCGCCACAGTGGTATAGACATTTTTTACTTTCTGACCTATAAAAAAATTCTTTTTATAATTTTGAATTTTAGAACTTTGTTATGTTTGTAATATTAAAAATAATATGGATTGTCCGTCAAAAATTAAATAAAAAATGGTTTGAAATAAATACCCTTGAATTTTTCCCATTTTTCGCTTCTCTTGCCCCATCCGTCTGTGAATTTGTTCCAGTTTCGCTTGTTTAGCTCGTGAGATTCCAATGCCTGATCAGGATAGTAACCGTCGTTTTCGTTTTCCGATTCCTGTTCTTCTAGAGCTGCTGCCAACTGACGTATCACCATATCTTCTTTGGAGGGGATAAATCTTTTTCCCCAACCACCCTAAAAGAAACAAATATTATAATTGTGTCCTTATTATTTTTTAATATTTTTATAATGCATACAGGGTGTTTCAAAAAACATTCTTTTGTGGAGAGATTTCTCACGGAAAAATAAAATTTATTTTTCATATCAACATAGGCCCGATTCTGCTTTGTTTCGGAGCTACAAGCGATTAAACTCTTTGTTTTTTTTTTTCGATTTATTATCATTTTCTTCCAAGTGGTTTTAGTGATTCGAATGAAATTTTGAGGGTAAAAGTTACTGTAAGTGCTACATATTTTAATACCGTATGATCGAAAAAAAACGGCGTCCAGTTGGCTGGGAAATGACGATCGATGACATTTCCCATATAAATTTACATATAAAATGACAGCGATCTTCATTTCATAGCCATCGTTGACGCCGTTTTTTCTCGATCATACGGTACTAAAAAAGTGTCGATAGATTCATCAGGGACCCATATTGCACGGGTTATCACTAAAATATTTTCCGAAAAAAAAAACATGTACGCCACTGATTTTTTTTATTTTGATAGCAAAATTGTATGATAAAAAAAAATGTATGTAAAAAAAAACATGTGGCATCTCTCGTGTGGAGATTCCTCACGTAAAAATAAGATTTATTTTTCATATCAACATAGGTCCGATTCTGCTTTGTTTCACAGCTACAGGGTGTTAAAATCTTAGTATTTTTTCGATTTATTATAATTTTCTTCCAAATACTTTTAGCGTTTTTGCATTTGGAATGAAATTTTGAGGATAAAAGTTACTATAAATGCGACATATTTAAAGCTAAAAAAGTGTTGACATATTCACCATGAACGTGCATATGGGTTATCACTGGAATATTTTTCTAAAAAAGCATGTACGCCACTGACTTTTTTTCTCTTGTTAGCAAAATAGTGTAAGCTGTTTAATGCCTATTCAAAGTTGTATTTTGATATTTTGTCGATTTCGATCTCATTGATGAGATAAACGAAATTTTTTTAACCACAATTAATAAAATTAAATTAAAAATAAAATTAATAAATTATTTAGTTTATCTAATATATTATATTATTTTTTTTAATTTTTTTTTCACAGTACTGTTACTGAGTACGGCCTATGTTTTATCTTTATAGACCCCCCGCGACCATCTGGTGCCAGTACACGTCTCACGATGTGACAGATTGCCAGGATGACAGCTTTTTGTGGGATTGCAACAATTTGATATAAAACAAATATAGGTACATAAATATAAAAGTAAGAATTTTTGTACAAACTGTGTTTTACTATTTCCATTTGTGTAATTATTTGCATATTTTTTTATTGTCGATCAATCAGGAATGTCTAAATCATGTATGGCTTTCCAGTTTGAAAGGGCCGGCTTTTATGAATCTCACATACCGACGACAAAGGCAATGGCTGAGGAGGGCTTCTCAATATATAATTTTTTTATATTCAAAAAAATCTGGATATTATAACTTAGAAATATTGTTTAATTTTCAGTAACCTTCACAGTTTTACCTCAGTTCATTCTTTCATAAGAGCTAGCAACACCGGGATACGGTTGTCCCATCTTCGTGTGTTATATGGGATTTTTCTGTTATGAGTAGAGATACAATGATGCGGTTTCCACATTACTTTGCTAATTTTTTATAAAACTAAATATGCTACACATATATTTGTCCTAGGCCGTCTTAGTTCCTGAAATACAGGGCGAATTTGAGTTTGATGCATTTTCGACACTCCTCGTATCTCGATTATCTTATAACTTATCGAAGAGGTGAAAAATGTGTCCCTTAGAGTTTTTCACGTAGACTCCAGTGGCGTAACTAGTTTTTCGCTGGGAGCTGTGAACTTTTTTTTTTAAACTGGAGACCCTGTATATTATTTCTTCATTTTATTTGCCTTATTATGAGCTTTCTAAAGTATAATATACTCTATACTCATTTTCATTAATAAGGTAAAAATGCGTTATTTGATTTTTTCCAAAAAAATCCCATGTGGGTATTTCGCCACTGCAAGAAAATCTACAAAATAAAATAGTTATTTTTTGTAAACACTGCTGCGTTAATCTAACGGAGTCTAATTATCAGCAGATAGGTTTATTGATAAACAAATTTGCAACGAACAAAAAAAAATGCTTAACGTTTCGGAAAGTTTATCTCTTTCCGTCGTCGGATGCAAAAAAATACAAAGAATAAAGTCAAAAACTATTTAAAACATTTAAATGCAGCTATTCAAGAACACGTTAGTTTTTTTAAACAGATACGTCTACAAAAACCGTTGAATTACTACCTGATAACAATTACTTAATAAGGTAAAACCAAAAATCTTCAAACTTTCTGTATGATTATTTTTAATTTTTACGTATGATATGTTTATTTATGTTATGTTCTTTAAAATCAAAGAAGCGATTGCCATACATTACTAACATCTACATATGCATGAGCAATACACTTATTTTTATTAGATTGTATTAAAAAAGCCAGTTTTATTTTTCATTTTTCATTTTCATTTTTACAATAAAAACGTAAATTTTTACCGCAGACGTAGGTTTTTAAAGGCCCGGTCTAATCATCTCCCTGCGCTCCTTCTACTTATTCTAAAATGCTAGCGTGATTGACAAAGACGATACTATATCGCGTTTCTTTGACTGATTCGTTTTTGTGCGTCAGTCCATTGGTGTGCTTACAGTGCGACCAATGGGGCATTCCATTTTATATTTATAACCAAATATACAGGGTTGTTCACCACATACGACACGAAGTATTGTAGCTAAACGATTAGATTTATACAAATTGTAAGTTTTGTGTTCGTTGAAGGACTATTAGAGCTACAATTTAAAAATATTTTTACAAGATACAGAGTGTGCCAAATAAGTAAAAAATATTATAGTTGTGTTTTTTTAAATAGAACACCCTGTATATTATTCTATTTTTGGATTATACGATTAAAATAGAGGTAAATTTGATTAAGGTTTATCACACTTAAACCTTACCGTTTTTGAAATATTTTCAATTTTATGAAATTGCAGTAAAAAAAATAAGGCTTCATTTCTCCAAGGGTATCAAAGTTTTTAATACTAAATATTTGCTGAAGATTATTAATTGATCAGATATTGTGCTGCAATAATAAAAATATTACTACCTTATGCAGAGTGTCCAAAAATTTGTATTAAATAATTACTAGCTTTAAACGGCAATAACTCGTTTAATTTAAATGGAACACCCTATATATTTTACGTGAATCAGATGCACAATGTAATTGTCTACCAAATTGTATTATACCATTTTTTTCCCACCTCTTCAAGTTTTCGTAGAAAATGCATTTTCTTATAATTTAGACCTCATTTATCACTATACCCATGGAATATTGATATTTTAGCTTATTTTTAAAGATGTAACAAATTTTCAAAGGGTACAGATACTAATATTGTCGATATAGTTTGCTTATTTAATTGAAACATTAAAAAAACTGTTTAATTATTTTTTGTTAAAGAGGACCAATTAATATGATCCCAGTATTTAAACTACATTAATTGACTGTTTACGTTGATTAAAAATAATTGCTCCAAGTACTAAAAAACTGAATTTTGTGTGTGTATTAGACAGTGTGATAAAAAGTTACACCTTCTAAATTTTATTTAATTTTTTGACGAATGCTTTATTTATAAAAACAGAGACGTTCATTTTCATAACTTATTATTATATTGATTTCTCAGCCAAATCCACATTTATTTAGAATACTTTATCAATTAAAACAATTTAAAAGTATGTAGTTAACTAATTTTTGGTGTTTTTGGTCGGAAATAATGGTGGTATATTTAATGGGTATAGTCTTTTACAAAGATTTAAATAGTTTTTTTTTGTATACCAATGGGCAATGGGCTTGCAATATTTACCACCTGTAAATTTTGTACATATTATATGGTGCTATAAAAAATCTGAAATGTCAATATTCCATGGGTATAGTGATAAATGAAGTCTAAATTATAAGAAAATGCATTTTCTACGAAAACTTGAAGAGATGGGTAAAAAATATTATAATACAATTTGATAGGCAATTACGTTGTGCATCTGATTCACGTAAAATATATAGGGTGTTCTATTTAAATTAAACAAGTTATTGCCGTTTAAAGCTAGTAATTATTTAATATAAATTTTTGGACACTCTGTATAAGGTAGTAAAATTTTTATTATTGCAGTACAATATCTGATCAATAGATAATCTTCAGTAAATATTTAGTATCATAAACTTTTATACCCTTGGAGAAATGAAGCCTTAAAATTTTGACTGCAATTTCACAAAATTGAAAATATTTCAAAAACGGTAAGGTTTAAGTGTGATAAACCTTAATCAAATTTACCTTTGTTTCAATCGTAGAATCCAAAAATAAAATAATAAACAGGGTGTTCCATTTAAAAAAATACAACTATATTATTTTTTACTTATTTGGGACACTCTGTATCTTGTAAAAATATTTTTAAATTATAGCTCTAACAGTCCTTCAACGAACACAAAACTTACAATTTGTAAAAATCTAATCATTTAGCTACAATACTCCGTGTCGTATGTGGTGAACAACCCTGTATGTTTTAACAAGACTTTGACAGTTACAAACAAAACTTTTGACAGTTACAAAAAAAACTTTGACAGTGACAAAACAACAATTAGATTATTATATGACTTGAAACACCACGGCACTGGAATTAAGTTTTATGTGACCTTGAACAGATTAGTTCACATGGTAGCGTCCAATGAATCACTCCCAAACATTCGTGGCGTTTACTATACACAGAAACTAGTGTGGAATAGCTAATGTGGAATAAGCATACAATTCAATTAAGGAGCGCACACTATGCCAGCCTTTTTCCGTAGAGCATAGTGTGCGCTCCTTAATTAAATTGTATGCTTTTATTTCGGCCGGAATTGTTTCCTTTCTGCTCGTTTCGTTTCGGTTCGGGTAAGTGCGCGACAAGCTTTAGTGAACGCAACGTCTGCCGGCTGCCAGACGGCCCACACGCTGCTCAAGAAAGTCTAGAGTTGGGCAATGCAAAGTTTAAACCTTTGTTTAATAAACTGAGCTCTTGTTTATCAAAAGTCTGCGAAGAAAGATTCTCTACTATGTTTATGCCTCTTTGGAAACATGATTGGTTTTAGAGTCCAATCCCTTCAAGTTCTTTGTTCCTACTGCTCTAGTAGCGGAAATCTAACTATTACGCTCGGTGGGCTCTGACTCGGTTGGCTAGATCTTTTCACGCCCACTCGGTGCCCACTGAGTGGGTATATAAACGCTCAAATTGTAGATTGTATTTTAGTTTTTAATCATCTGCTGATGATGCTAACATGATTAGCGAAACGCGCGTCCAGTGTAACAGTAAAAGTGTTTTGGTGTATTGTGGTGATTTAGTGTTTTATTTTGCAGCTTTCTTAAAGTTATCTCTCGAAAACGTTACTAGCTATTAGACTATAAGTGGTAATATTGACTGGGAAAATAAATCCATCCCAATAAAAACCATTATCAGTTTATATCTTTTCATTAAAATAATAAGCTTTCTATTCCATCCAATATCCTCATTTTTCCGTATATCAATCGAACTCTTGTTGCATATTTCTTTTCTGGCCGAAGCGCGACGCGACGCCGGCGCTAAAAATTAATTGGAAAATCTAAATCTAGTCGTATTTAATATTGCGCTTGCTTTAAATTGCTATATAAATATTGACAGGAAAAATGCAATCCTCTCCTATAATAGAGTTTTTTTTCTTCTAATTTTAAAGCCTATTTCCGTGAGTACATACTTACTGTGTTCATTTCCGTGAGTTTTCTGCATATGTATTAATAGATTTACAGATGAAAAGAGTTAGTGGATGGCTACATTGGATACGGATACGTGCGATTTTTTAGTCTTGCGATGTCGTACGATGTCGGAAGTTCAAACAAACTTATTAATTTAAGGTTATGTGGTTACATTACCTGCGTTTTAGTCGGATGTTATCGTACGATATCGGCCGAATACACGAGAATATCAAACAGGTTTATTTTTCTCTGCGACATCGTGCGGCCTAAAGTCAATAATTTAAATTTTAATTTAAAATAATCCATTTAAAATGGGCCTAGAAAAATTAATTTTGTGTTTTGAGTTTGTGGGACCAAACAAGCAAAGAATATCATAATAGAATTATAGTAAAAAAACATTGGGAAGATGTAGCAAAGGAAATGGGGGAAACAAGTATTTTAGTAATTTGTAATAAATAGTAATTAATAAATTTGTAATAATTTGTAAAATAAATAAATTTGTAATTGATGTATTTATAAGTAATTTTATTAAGTAAATATGTAATTAAATTTATTGTTGAAGGCAACATTCTGAAATATTCATAAAACTTTTGTGGGTGCTCCCTTAAGTCCTTGAAAAGCGTTACGTACCCCCCTTCCTAGCCTCTAGTTAAATATATATCATTAACCCAATACTATTGCCTTTTTCTTAATCAACACAAACTTTAAACAACTATTTTCTAAGAAATATAAGTCATCTACTTCGTCATCCATTTTGAATTTCAACGAAAATAGTCTTACAAAATCGCAAGACTAAAAAATCGCACGTATCCGCATCCAATGTAACCCTCCACTAAGTACAGCGAAATATCTAGTGTTTTAAAATAAACACGTTATACTTTTTCACAAGTCAAACATTAAAAAAGCAGTTAAGTAGATATTAGAAAAAAAAACTAAATTTAATTTCTAAGGTTGTTAAGTACCGTATGACCGAATAAAAACGGCGTCAGCAATGGCTATGACATGAAGATCGCTGTCATTTTATATGTAAAATTATATGGAAACGTCATCGATCCTCATTTCCAAGCCAACTGGGCGCCTTTTTTTCAATCATACGGTATATAGGGTGATTCACGTAAATATTTTTTTAGTTTATTAGTTTTTCATCATTTCAAACATGTCCTTTATATCCTTGAATTTAATAGCTGTTAGTAAGAAGTGCGCGCCACGGGGGTGTCACTTGTATGGGAAAACAGGCAACAGTCAAATTTAAACGTGCCAGGACCAACGACAAAGAAAGCAACATCTGCCAGGTATTGGCTTTCTTTGTCACTCACATTGCTTAAATCATGATACCGCGGCCATTTTGCCAACAAAGAAGCTGGCCGGGCTGTCCTGGCAAGTGATTTAAAACAATTTTGCTTTTTTACAATATTAAATTACCATTTGGATGTATTTAATGCGATTATTCAGTTAACTGGTAAGTCATAAATTACACACAAATACTTTATTCGTAAATACAACTAAGATGTAAACGTATTTTTGTATTTTTAGATTTCAACTTTTGCAAAGACCCGCCGATATAACTTGCCTGGCAGCGTACCTGTTTAACTAAACGTATTATTTCCTGATAATAATATCAAAACACGTAAGTACTTCTATAATTTATGATGAAAAATGATTTTGATTATGTTTTATATTATTTAAATACTTTCTAACCTCAAATAATAGTAAGATCCTTTTTTATATTGCACAGCCCGTTCAAAACTGTATTGTCTTCAAAAAATGTTTACAAAACACACAATTATTACAAAAACAATGTCCTTTTAATCTGATTTATACCTCAGAAGGATGCCAGTAAAATTTTATTAAATCAACATTATATTATTTGGCCATTAATATGCAAAAAGAAGCATATTGCCTTAACTTAAATTTTCTTTTACTTCTCCTGGCAATGTTCTCTATATTCTCTATTTTGAGTTAGTAAACTTTTGAACGGGATGTGCGATATAGAAAATACATAATATATCCAAGGGTATGATCTGATAAAAGTATTTTTTGATGCATTTTTGGTTGTTTATGCACGTTGGCTTGGTTTATGTTTTATTCAGCTTATATTTATTTGGTATAACAGTTTTTTTTGCCTTTGGAATGGCATGCATTGAGGCTAGATAGTGTTTCATTAGATCATTAACCCTCATATCATAGTGCCTTATGCATGTTATTTACCTATTATATACTTATGTGTTATCAGTAAATAGATGATAATATACTACTAAAATGTCTTTTTAATAGTATGTTTATCTTTCCAATTCACTAGTTATTTGCAAAATGTATTTTGAACTAATTTAAGTCATTAATTGATCATCTTTCTTTTTCAGGTTCCGGGATATTCTTTTTCATTGTTAAAAAAATATATATATTTCAATATTATTGTAATATAAATCGCAGCTCTAAAAAATAAATGATATTGTTTACTAATGTGTAATTTATTTACTATGAATTTTCTCTGAAAATAATAAGCCTTTAATAATATCATTGATTTGCTGTGTAAAATGAATAGACATATTTTTTAATACATTAAATTATATTAAAGTAATAAAAAATATGTTTATTAACTTTAAACAGTAAGTCAGTGATACTTATAAAAATATTTTTTTAAAAATTTCCTCTCTTTTAAGCCCCGCCCCTCCAATTCCTCTCAATTTAGCTAGTACTGCCAGGCGACACCAGGTGGCGTCTGTTTCCATTTTTTAACATGAAGTTAGCATTTCTTTAATGTACCTATTCTCTGGTGCGCGCACAATTTTTATCAATGTCATCTCTCAAAACCCTCTTCCCTCATTGTAGAGAAAATCAAAAGTATTTCTCTTTATCAACTTACTTGTAGTCTTTGCCAAGATTTCTTCTCGTACGGTGTTACGATGTAATTCGGGTCTACTTCAAATTCAAAATCTCGTTTTCCCCAACCTGAGTGCAGATTGCTCCAACCTCTTTTACCCCACATCGGCAAGTCAGTCTTCCATCCTCTTTTTGAATACTCTGCCTATAGATCAAAATTCCAATTATTAGTAAACTAATTTATTTATATTTTTTTTATATTTACTACGACGCATCTGCCACTCACCGGCACTAAAAAGGGACACCTTAAAAATTTATATATTTTATAGTTTACCCAAGTAGCATAGGAAGGAGAAAAACCCATTGACCTCGGAAAATCAACCACTATTTGGTTGAATTTTACTTATCCTTAACTTAATAAATTTCTTGTAGGGTATAAAGTGCGAGAAATCTAAAAATGAGGTCATAAACTAGTTAATAATAACCTAAAATTATGCCTTTGAAAAGTAGCAACGTTGGAGTTAGCTGGCATTGTTAAAATCTAGTTACTGATAACCTATTGAGGGCATTAAGACTACAGGGACATAAAGTAGGTTAAAAGTTACTTTATTATAACCTCAAATTTGTCTCGGGGGTCAAAGGCATTGTTTGGTTTTCAAGTTAGGTTAAAATTTAGTTGTTAATAACTTTAAATGAGACCTTATTTGGAGGAGTCCAAATTAGGTTGAAAATTTAATTATATTTCGACCTCATAAGTCGCTATTATGCTTCAAAGATAAAAGTAACAGTTTTTTTACTTGGAAGAAAGTCAGACATACGGCAGGTTAAAAATAACCTTTTTTAATTTCCTCGGTGTGATTTCCGTTTAAAAAGTTTTCCAGGGATTATTACGTCATAGCACATTAAATTGTTCCCACTGGTGGGGAACGAAAGAATATTCAATGCGTTTCTTTTTTATTTCCGCCACAATCTTAAACGTGTCCATTATGTGCAATAAAAACAAAAAGCCCTCTGTAATAACACTCACAATCCCAAAACACAAAACTTTTAAAAATATTAAGCAAAAAAGAATTTAGTTTTCTAGTTAGTTAGTGTTCTAGTTTAGGCCAGTTCGGTAATTACATAGGCCAGCAAAAGGATAAAAATTTGACTTGTCACGTGACTCTCAATAAAGATTCTCATTTTAGGACACATAATTACTGTGAAAAGTTAATCGGATTGCTCGAAGATGTAATTACCGAACTTAGCATAAAATATCATTGTCAACTGTCACTGTCACTCAAAGAAAATAAAAGTTTTGTGTTTTACCGGCGATACTCCAACAATGTAGTCAAGACTTCGAGAAATGAGCTTCGACCTAATATAGCCCATTGTTTAACTTGCACCTCGAAGGAAAAATACCTTAAGAAAGAAATTTTGACCTTTGAGGTTATTAATTTAAAGAAATCTTAGCCTCATACAAAGAATTACAGTTGAGGGTTGGAACCTTTAGTGTTACACAGCAAAATAAAATTACACTAAATCACCAGAATACACCAAAACACTTTTACTTTTACACTGGACGCGCGTTTCGCTAAGTAAAAGTGTTTTGGTGTATAGTGGTGATTTAATGTAATTTTATTTTGCTCATACAAAGAAAGCGGACTTTAAGGTTTTAAAATTATGGAAAACCTAACTCCATAGACGAATAGTTAAAAACACCATTAGCGGCCATTTTCTTATCCAATTTGTTTTCAAAAAATATTTTTTTTGTGATATTGTTGTAAACTATTGAGAAAAATAAAGAGACGTTTATGAATAATACTACCTACCACAAGTTAAATTAACTAATTAAGAACTTTAAAAGTGTACCAAGGAAGTTAGCTGAAAAAAAATTAGGTTAGAACCTTGAAAATAACGATTTATTCTATAATTAATTGTTGAAAATACACAAAATTTTAATGACACATAATTTTTTAGGGCCTATCATATTTACATCTCACAGAAAAATTTTCTCCGCAGACATAATTATCTTGGGAATCCAGTAATCCACTTCTTACCAATAACTTATTTACATTTACTAGGAAGTGCATATATGTAGGTATTTCATCCATATTGGATTAATGTTCAAACGGCCATGCCAGTTATTACACTTGTTTGTCTCCCTGGTTCATTATTGGGAAATTCATTTACATACACATATTAAAAAGAAAAATACTTTACCTTATTCTATCTCTTTCTTTCCCATGTTAAAATGTAAGTAGTATAAATTAGGACTCTTTTTAGTAAAATTCACCTCTATTTTACCATGTTATGACCTCAGGTCTATTATTTTTGACTTCTTAGTCCATATTTCATTCAAGACACCATAACCTGTTAACCTGTTTTTAACTTCCAAATAACTTTAGTTTTATTCCCCACTTTGGGAGTGTTAACGTCAATTCTTGGAAATTTCGACCAATATCCCGTTGGTCAATAATAGTCTAGGTGGTTAATCAGGTGTGGGTAATTATTTTGTTCTGAGCCGATTTTGATGATTTTTAAGCCATTAGTAGCTAAATTATTTTTAGTATCTCTTTTTAAATTAAAAATGAAAGTTCCCATCTGTCAATTGTACGATGGAAAACAAAATGTTGATATTTTGTTGAAAGGTTGACACACCCTGTGGAATATGTTAAAAAAACGACGAATCTAAATTAAGGCAGAAACTTTGACGAAACGAATCTAAAAAAAGGCAGCTTTAGTACCACGGCCATCATTTCTTACTTCCTCACTATTTTACGAATTATTTTTTTCGCACCAACCGCGGAACCGTTGGGTCCATATTGTCCGTCCGCCAATTACAGGAAAAAGTAAAGGAGCAGTAGAGTAAACTTTATATTGCATTCATCGACCTAACAAAAACCTTCGACTCTCTGTAAACATAGATGCACTTCGGGCTATTATGCAAAAGTTCGGAGTGCCCAATAAATTTCTTACAGTGTCTAAAAGCCTCCATTACAACAAGTCTAGAGCGTCACATTATGAATTACTGAGCTACCCCTTCCTAACAAATACTGGAGTTAGGCAGGGATGTGTCTTAGCACCTCTCCTATTAAACATATTGTAACATGGACAGTGGTCTCTATTATAGTGCACAGCAAACTGCAGGAAAGAGGAATGGGCATTAGATACAGATACGACGGCGGTCTGTTCAACATAAAAAGACTCGGGACAAATATACGTATAAAATTCATCATAGAACTTCAATACGCTGATGATTGCGCTTTAGTTGCAAAAACGTTGCAGCAATTACAAGAAACGCTGAACACATATACCTGGGCACACACGGATTGTGTCTTAAGCTGAACATCAATAAAACTAAAATCATGTGTACTCCCCCGGAAAATCATAGCAATGCTGTAAAAATCCAAGGATAGGATAGTTCGATTCCTATCTTCCTGCAGTGTCAGTTTTTTTACGTCATCTACAGACCGAGTTGAAGTTGGCGCTAAAGATTTTAGACAGTGACAGTTATTTTTGCATTTGACGGACGAGCTCACAGTGCGTTGGAAGATAAATTTAGCGGGACAAAAGCGTTTGGTTAGAAATAAGCCAAAAAATGTGTACTGATAAGAATAAATAGTAGACATTCCAATTGATACAAAAATGCATGAATATTCTTTGTATTTCGATACCTTTTTATCAACCAAATTTGGTCGTTTTCTGCTCAGCAAGGCAGAGATCATACGAAAACAAAATATTTACAAGTGCTTATACATTTTATTAGAAAGCCATATTACGTTGAAGATTGCCAAAGGTATGTACTTTTCTACTGTACGTATATTATTTGTCAAAACCCTTCGTGCCTTTGTTCTGCAGATATCAAACTTTCACTTTTTTTTCAAATATCGATATATTGAATGATGTAGATCTTTTGAGTTACCAATAGTTACCAACACAGATAGTCACAGTCACAGGGAGTTCAAGCTTAACAGGTGAATGCCCAAAAAGATTCATTTCAATCGGATAGTATAAAAACAAAATAACTCCATCAAAAGGCACTGAGTTTAAAAAATTGTCTTAGATACTTACTATATATGAATTTACAATTACCGAGTGTTAAAATTAAAATTAAAATATCTATCTTATTTATTATTTTCAAAATAAAATATATTTTTTAAAATAAATTATAGAGGGTGTCACAAGATTACAAATTAATTAAAAAAAAAACTGCTAAAGATTTTTTTGATGTCATAATTTTATGTATTTGGCAATAGTTTACAATACGGTTTTTGTGTGTCATGTACGAATAATATCATAGTTTTATTATCTTGTATTTATTTATTAATAAATTAAGTTGTTAATACATAAATAAATTTAACCATATAGTTGCTATATATTAGACCATTTGCTACGTTCTTAGATTTTAAGTTCCAAACATTGCGCTTGAGATTTTGTCCCGCTAGAATAACCATCCGCCGCACTGTGGAGCGCTGGTCAGCGCGTGACGTAGCATTCCACGGCGACTAGGATAGCGGCGATTTGACGCGATCGAACAGTCCTTTAGAATATATACAGTCCTTGGTAAAAATCAGGTTCTTCTCTGATTTTTACAGCATTGTTGGAATATGTAGTGGAATTCAATCACCTCGGCAGTTTGATTTCCGAAAACGCCAATATCGACTATGAAATTCAGCACAGAATTAGCAGCACCTCAAGAGCATTCTGGAAACTAAAAGACAGGCTTTTCTACAACCATTACTTGAGCACAAAAACGAAACCTACAGTGTACCGAGCGTATAATCCATGTTTTATGGAAGCAAAACCTGGGTGCCCTACCGCCGGCACATAAACGCATTAAACCAAGTTGCAACAGAGACACCTTAGACAACTGTACACCAAAAGTAACAATGTACAATGTAACCAACTGTAAAAATGGTATCACCGTGTCTCAGACGTATCGGTCTCTGAGAAAGCTAGCTGCGAAAGCTCTGAAATAATGATTACTAAATCCCGCTTAAGATGGGCTGGTCACGTATGCAGGAGGTAAGAAACCCCCTACCGAAATCTCGGAAGGGGTGGGCAAGGTGAGCTTGTAGACGGTAAGAGGAAACCGGGTGGAGAACTCAAAAGATACAAGGATATTTTCCATGAAAACTGAAAGGGGAATGCAATGGAGAAGAATTGTAAACTCAGTTAACAACAACAACCAAAAAGTAAAGAGGCAACAAAGTAATGAGAATTTTGAGTGTCCGGAGTACGGTAGAGAGATATCATCACGTATCGACCTTTTCAATCAAGAAAAGCTCATGAAAGAAAACGTCTTGCATAACCATCTTCTGGTGCCTCCCAAATACTCGTTAGCGAGTAATGGCAATGATGATGATGATGAATTATTTAAACATTATCCTTCTAGTTAAGAAGTACTCACTCTGAGTTAAATACTACCTTTGTCAGATACCCTTTTGTAAACGAAATTGAAACTAATTTTAAAATTCTGCGAATTCCTTGAAATCAATCTTACCCCTACTTGTGTAACGAAAAATTTGATTTGATACTTTTCTAATACCGTGGAATTATATTCTAAGGAAAACTTTCTTGATTATCGCTCTCCGATTTTATTTTATTACGAACTTTCAAGAATTGCTTCAAGGATAAGAATGTATTAAGAAGGACATGTCTTCCAGGAGTTTCCAGACAGTAAATGGGAATGAAGTTCATTTGATGAGATCCTATTGAAATAAGTTATATATTGATCCTGCTTGTTGACTTTATATTTATTACGAATTAGCCTACTCATGGAACTTTTAATATCTAGTATATCACTAATTTTGGACAGTGGAAATCAATTATTACAAATAATAAGCTATAAGCGTATATGACGTAAGCTATCAATAGCGGAAGATGATGAAGTTTTATTTGAAAATTAATCTTCTGTATAATGTTTTCCTGCAAATTTTTCCGATATTTTAATAGTTATTTTTATTCTATGGATATCTTTCCTTTTCTTAAACCTTTATTCAATATTTCAATTGTGATTTTCTTGGGTATAGTTTTTTTTTATTAAAAATTAAATGATTTCTGGGTGTTTTTAAAACATTTATTTGCCGACGTTTCGATTTTTTTATGCAAATCTTTCTCAAGGCATCAGATGTTGTTTCGGCCGTTAAATTCTTATATTAAATATCTTATTTTGAATTCTTATATTGAATATCAATATAAATAATATCACTGTTATTGAAAAATGATATTACTACTGTTTGTCTGTTGGCTGTTGGGCAGTTATATACGGCAGAGATGGTTTTCAGTCCAGAAGTTGTATCCACTATAGATGATGCTTTAATTGATGATGATAGAAATCAAAATTACGTCGCTAACAGATTTAGGTGTGCACGAAGTGCAGTGCAGTCACTTCCTCGAGACAAGCTCATTTGCTAGACGTCCAAAAACCTTCGTATGAGAACATCATTTCAAGTCATGGAATGGATGTCTATTGGAAAAAACAATATGAATTGAGACGATCGACTTATTTTAGGTTTATGGCTAAGATACCGCCGTTTGCCAGCTTTTCAAATTTATAATTAAACTAAGGAACGTGCACGTAAGTGAATGGACTGTAAGAAGTTTAAATGAAGTAAAGCATATGTCAAGAAGCTTCGTGACCAGAACTATATATATATATCTCTTTACTAGGACCAAAAGCAAAGGCATGATTTTAATGTAAAAATTACGAAAAAAATGTTAATGTCTCCTTCAAAAGTGAATATCTCCAAAAAAAATAAAGCTATTGAAATGAGCCAAAAACAAATGATCGAAAAGGGATGTATCTAGATGATAAAATTATTTTTAAATTCCTTGCTGTCTTAACATATTTTACAGAGTGTTTCAAACTTTCACAAAAATGTCAACATTTTATTTTCCCTCGCGTAATTGACAGATGAGAACTTTCGTTTTTAATTTAAAAAGAGACACTAAAGAGTCAAATAATTTAGCTACATATTGCTTAAAAATCATCAAGATCGGCTCACTAGGACGAAATATCTTAAATTTTAATTATCTTATTTTAAAATACATACATAATATATACGCTATATATAGCTTCATATCTTATAACTGTCATTTCTATTCTAGACAGTTCTATAAATTTTCTGACTTTCCTTTAGTCATAGTTTTGTGGAACTTTACCATTTCTTTTGAATAATTTGAGTATGTATGTTTTTTGCTTATGTTCCTGATGATGAGTTACACGTAGATTTTTTTCATTCGATGTAAAATTTTCAACAACCAAGACACAAGCAACTGTTTGTATCTAAAACCACAAAATCAGTGGCTTTGTAACATTTAAGAAATGAAGTAATTTTGTAAATTTAAGGCTTTTTATAGCTGTTTTATTTTAAACTCGATATGTTAGGACTAAAAACGAAATTACTTAGCTAATTTTAAATCTAACCAGCTATTTTACAAATTAACTAAAAGTGCTGTTATTTTGGATCGGGTAGATCGGGATATTTTTTTTAAACGGAACACCTTGTATATTATTGCATTTTGGGCTTCTTTTCTGATCACTTTACATAATCCTAAGATATTATTAAATATGTTTTGACAGTTTCAGAAATATTACTAAATAAATGAAAATAAATATGTCTTGAAATCAAAACTATAGGTATTAAGTATAGTTAGTCTGCACTTACTTTGCTATAAATATCGTACTCTTAAATGATACAGGGTGTTCAAAATTCTTTGTCAAACTGTCTAATATATAAAATAGTTTTTCTGCGTTTTTTTTAATGGAACACTCTGTTATTATTTCTTTGTTAGATGGAGAACTAAAAAATGAACATAAATATCTTGTATTTAAAGCATTTTAGAATTTTTAGCGATTCCATTTAGAAAAAAAAACGAAGAAATAATATTTCATATTTTAGAAAGTAATGGACAGAAACAGCGATTTTAGTTAGTTTGCAAAATAGCCAGCTAGTTTTATAACTAACCAAGTATCCATTTTAGCTATAACCGATACGCATTTTGTTTCGTTAACAAATTCTTGAAAAATGTCAACAAATTTTTCTTGTCCAAACCAAACTAAAAACAGAGGGTGTTTCCTCTTATTGCTTGGAATAAATAGAGCTAAAAATTTGTAATAAAATGTTTTTAAAAATGTGTCTAGTATAGTAAAATTTAAACACACTAACAAACGCCACAATGTTTGCACCTTATGCGCCGTAATGTTGTATATTTTCTATAAAAGAACCTTATTAAAAAGGGATTTTTCCGATTACCGTCGTCAGGATGTCTCACTCACCTCGGGATTTTCATCTGATGTTTTTCCCAGCTGAATATCGTCTGCGGCTGCAGCTAAAGCCACAAGTTCCAAACAAAATACTAGGGCTACTGCGTACAGCATTGGTTCTTTGCCTTTTCTAAATGATGTTGTATTCAGTTGAGAGAACATTCCAACTATCTGGAAAAAAAGAATATTTTTTAATATATTATTGAAAACAGAATATTATTCACCATTAATATTTAAAACTAAATCTTAGATGTACAGGGTATCCCGCTAAGAATAGTTCTCGGCTGTATCTCGGAAAGTATTAGCCGCAGGGCCTCTGGAAAAAATATTTATAACTAAAGAGGTTATGAGAAATTACTGGAAATTATTTTCAAGTTTGTAGAAAGGCCGCTAGAGGGCTCAACTGCTATAAACAATAAGAAAATAAAATTTTTACAAAATTTTGCCTAGATAAGGGGTACTATAAATAATAGTTTCATAATTGTTCAGTAAATTTTGAATATTTTTATTTGTTAGAACAATTTTCCCTTATCTGCTAAATTAAAGTGGAGGGGGATGGTTAGATCTGCTTTTATTTAAATAATAATAACTCCGGACTGGATGATGGCAATCCAACATTCAGGTCTAGTTTAAAAGACCATTTCTTACTATATATTATACCATATAAACAAATAAAATTATTACTTTTAATTAATGGTCTAAAATTGCTTTTTTAATTTTTAAATTATAAATGCCGTTGCAGTAACGCACGCGCAAGACGTGGGAACAAAAGTACAGTTACATATTTAAGGCTGCTTTTCAAATTTTTATTACAAAACTGTAATATGATTTATAATGAAATTTGAATATTATTGTAAGAAAAAAAAATATTGAGAAAACGAGAGAAACTAAGATTAAACTCAAACAGGCAGTTCTTTTCGCGCTTTATTAAGCTAATATTTACCAACTCGTGTTGATAAGAAGAAAATTACAGAATAAAATTTCAGGCCATATTTCATATAATTCAGAGATTTTATTTTAGTTTCCTAGTTTGAGAAAAGAAAAGAAAAAGATAAGGAAATAAACTGAGGTCATGGAAGTCAGAAAAAAAATATTTTCAACGTCATTTACTTATAGTAAATATGAGATAATATACAGGGTGTCCCAGAAATAAGTGCAAATATTTTAACTGGTAGTATAGTTCAACCCCAGAAACACGCCTTTGAGGTTTTTTTTGCGAAAAAAAAATGTTGAAAATTTAAAATTTTTCTTGACATTTTCTGGGAAATCTGAAAAAACTTTTTAGTGCCACTTGTTTATTCACCTGAGATTTCTCTACGGTGTATCTAAACCTTGCAGTGTTGCAACCTCCTATGTTATCCACATTCTACATAGTTCTACATTTATAAATTCATAGACAAATTTCTTCTCAAAAATTAGGAATGTTAAATTTAATCTTTTATCAGTGCTCATTATTAATAATTATTATAGAAAAAAAACATTAATTATTTTTAGTACTTACCCTTTCAATGAAAACTTAACAAAAACCACCGAAAATTAACTAAAAGGCTGAAACATTACGTTTATGACGTTTACGAAAATGATTCATCATATTATTCACAACCAGGTCGCAAAAAAGAAATTCCTAAAATGTTTATCGTAATTTAGAATTCAATATATCGAAAACAGCCCAACGAATAATCGATTAATTTCTGTTTTGTTTGTTTTCTTTCATGTTTCTCTGTTTTATTTCAACCACTGATTTACAAAACACCTTGAAAAGCGCACATTACTTTGAATACCGTCTCTTATCGCCACTTTGCGAACTACTTTCAATCTAAGAAAATACATGTTTCACTCAACAATTTTAAATACGTATTTTGTTTTTTCGCTATTTTTTCGATGTATTTCGACAGACCAGCCGTCGCGCGTCGGCCAAGAGTGCCACGTGTGAACTGGTCCTTTGAGCCGCGCCGTCGTGGCGGGCTTGCGTCACACGATGATGTTAAGCAACGTTACCGTAGTTACAACAATTTCAAATTCAAGACATTCGAAGAAATCAAATTCGTATTAAATTTTAAAAATAAAACAGAGAAACATGAAAGAAAACAAACAAAACAAAAATGAATTGATTATTCGTCGGGCTGTTTTCGATATATTGAATTCTGTTACGATAAACATTTTAGAAATTTCTTTTTTGTGACCTTATCAATAATCAATTCATTTGTGTTTTGTTTGTTTCCATTCATATTTTTCTGTTTTATTTTTAAAATTTAATAAGAATTTGATTGCTTCGAGTGTCTTGAATTTGAAATTGTTGAAGCTACGGCAACCTCGCATGACGCAAGCTCGACACGCCGGCGCGACAAAGGAGCAGTGAGCAGTTACCAACCAGTGATGCGCGACTGTCTTGGCCGACGGTTGGGCTGTCGACGGAATTGTCGAAATACATCGAAAAAAATAGCGAAAAAAACAAAATACGTATTTAAAATTGTTGAGTGAAACATGTATTTTCTTAGATTGAAAGTAATTCGTAAAGTGGCGGTAAGAGACAATAATTCTCAACATTTATTCATTCAGAAAGGTAGTATTCAAAGTAATGTGTAATGTGTGCTTTTCAAGGTGTTTTGTAAATCAGTGGTTCTGTTGTGATGAAGCCTATATGAAAATAATGTGTTAAGTTAAAAATGGGGACTGTTATTTTAGCAGTTTTTATAATAGCATGTACAAGTAAAGCAGCACAATGAAGTATATTTTAGTTAAGTGTGTATCGAAAAAGAGAACTGTCGCAGTTACATCGATCTGTCATAAGTATCTTTTTTAATGTTGGGTAAGTTTTTTAATTTAACTTTTAAACATTTAACTTTTAATTTATTTTATGTAATAATATCACAATCTTAAAAATGTAATGTATCTCTGCAAACTCCTCAGGTGTTGTGATTTTATGACTTACTTTTAAACATATACTTTCTTGTCCATATGGCAACACAGTGCGTCGAATTAACTGAAATCCGGGCATGATCCGGGTAATTGGATGTAGTTGGCAATATCTGCCGGCGGTTCTCAAAATGTTGCTATTATTTTTTTAAATTTTCAAAGTTAAATAACTCGGTTATTTTCAATTTATTTTAAAAATGGTAAAGAGAAAATATGTTTATTTTGACCAGATCTACCACCCCTTAAAATATCTGCACTCATTTCTGGGACACCCTGTACATTTGAGTAGGTTTCCCCGTTCTTGAAGGAAGTTCCAAATTTGGTGTATCACCAACTTTGAGTCAAATTCACAGAAAGTTCAGTTTTTAAATGATAATGTTAGAACAGCAAAATAAAAAAATAATTCACCACAATACACCAAAATAATAATCATCAGCAGTTGATTGAAACTAAACTGTTATTTACAAATTGAGCGTATATACAGGGTGAGTCTTAAATAAGTACAAATATTTTCAGTGCTGGTTGGTTTCAATAAAGGAAACATATTTTCTCTTTACTTTTTTTCAAATTAAAAGCCTAAAAATCTTATGTATTGATATTGTTTATACCGTGTGCGTCTCAGAAGTGGCCCTTTTTTAATTTTATCAGATAAAAAAAAACGAGATTTGGTATGTTAGTATATGACATAAATTAGGATTGATTGACATATTCAATTGTTATTGGTCACTTCTTGTTTCACCGAAAATGACTACAACTTTTGATTTTTAAACAGCACAGTCGGTATTTTTTTGGAAATGACATTTTGACATCGTATTTTAAAGTTCAATGTAGGGTGCCATGGCTATGTTAAAAACACTAATTCTTAATCAAGGAGCCTTGGAAAAATAGATTTGATCGTCTAATGTGTTTAGTGTCTTGTCCTGGCCAATTAGAAAATGCTCAAATCGTATGTTTAATCAAGGTTTAATCATATCTCAATTTTTTCAAATGGAACGAGGGTGGCTCATTCGCATATTTGGAAAAAATATTTTTTACGAATTTGATACCACACACTTAGTATTTCGAGTCATATTTTCGTTACGAACCGCAAGTTATAATTTCAAATAAACCATATGCGAAAATGTCAAAAGTTGACATATGATATGTTATTCTATTCAGAGTGTTATTTTCTATCCAATAAAGTAGAAATATACCGAAGGTGCCATTTAAAAATCAAAAGTTGTAGTAGGTAATTTCTATTGAAAGAGGATGTGACCAAAAACAATTGAATACGTCATTCAATCCTAATTTATGTCATACCAAATCTCGTTTTTTTAACTGAAAAAATAAATAAGTTATAGGTGTGAGCCACTTTTGAGACGCACCCCGTATTTCTCCACTTATTTCTGCCCTTCGTGTTTATTCTCTACCCATCCACTCTTATCCTTTTCAAGTCCTCTTCAAGATCCTTTTTCCATCTGGTTATCGGTCTACCCCTCCTTCTCTTTCCACCTATTTCACGTTTCATTATCATACTAGGAATTCTTGCTTCAGATAGTATTTCAATATGTCCCAGCCATCTCAGTCTTTGTGCTCTTGCTACTTCCGTTATACTCGGTGCCCGATATAGATGTTTTAATTCTTCATTTGTTCTTTTGGTCCATATGTTCTTTATTTTTTTTGTCTTTCCTTCAAAAAAGTCCAAAATTATCGAGTTATTTAAGTTTCAAAATTAAAAAAAAAGCTTTTTTAAACATCTTTAGAGCCACCGGATTTATTCCGCAATTTGTTCTTCTAGTTTTTAATCTACTACCGATGTTGTCACGTTTTTAAGATATATTTTTTTCTGAAAATTTCACCTAAGTGGTATTACACGCCACCCAAAGGGTTTGTATTCCGAATGCGCCTGGCTTGTTTAATGGTGTTTGATAGTAGCACTGTTATCCCACACAATAAATAGAAAAGGCTTACCTCTGATATTTGAATAGGATATTATGCTTTTTTTCATTTAAGTTATTATTCATTATTATTTTAACGTGCAAGTCCTGCCTTATCTGTACACAACACAGAACGTGGAAAACCAATATCTTCCCATTTTCTAACACTCACGAAACGGACGCATTTTCTAACAAAATCTATCTTTGTAAAATCTCCTTCTTTAAGATTATTGCGCCTTTTTTATGTCGGTATATGATATGGGTTGAAGTTTGCTTTTGTTGGCTTATTGTTTTAGAGACTCTTCGTTAAAGCGATTTTTTTTAAAATTATAAATAAAA